AATACTGTGCCTGAAGGTCAGATTGTTCCGACTGCAGTTAAAGAAATGCTGTGAATAATCTCACCAGATTTAATTGTTTAGCTTTTTAATCACATTATTTAAAACTATTTTAAAAAGAAGGGATACACAGCCAGCCATCACATTTTCAGGGGAGCTCACATGCTTACATTGACTTTATATGTCGCCATAATTAGGCAAAATAATGCAATCATTTGTACGTTTCCCTTTGAACGCGTGGTCCTATGTTCAGTGCTCGATTAAGGATGGCTTCAGCCGGTGGTCGTGAACGCGCGCAGCTCTGTCAACCAATGGCTGGATTAAAGCTCGATCAAACTGGACTCAGCTGCTCAGGAGAGACAACTGCGGATAGAAATCGCATCTATTCTGGAGGCAGGATTCGAGTCTATAAACCAGATCGACTCCAAATCGTTGGAGGAAAAATTGCGCTCCCTATAAGTCGCTGACCAGTCCGCCATTTTGACTTTGCCCAAACCTCCGTGCGTGAGTGCAGGGCAGCAGTGTGCGCTGCAGAGGCGCTGGATGGTGTCCTTCTGCAAAAAACCTGCAGCTGGAGACGTTGGACGTGCAAGCAAACACTGTAGGATTAACTTCATGTTCAGGATGCCTCAGTACAGCTGTCTTTGTGGAATAACACCTAGAGCCTGTTTTCTAAAACGCTCACACTAGAAATAGCAGCAAGGTCCTGCTTCACAAAGTAGCCTGATAAAGTCAGACTTGCCATGGGGCATTCTTAAAATCTAACCAAAACTCGCGTTTAACCATGTATTAAGCGTTTTCTGGACCAAAAACAACAGATATTCAACAAACTGAAAAAAGCTTTTATTGCTTTCAAGAGCCATGAGATACATTATCTTGTTTTACATTTCATCAATTATTCTGCAGGCTACTGTATCTGGGGCGTACAAAAAAATAAATAATAAAACACAAGAATGAAAAAAAAAAAACCATAAACAAAAACAATTGCATTGGTTCAGAAATAGATATATACATACAAATAAGCACAATTAGGAGCAATAACAAACTGAGATTAAACATGACAAAAGGCTGGTTTTCAATAATTCAAAAGAGAATAAAATGAAACCAAGATTTAAAACAGAGTTTGCCCCTTTCTTTGCAGACAATGGAACAGAAAGAGAAACATTTTTAAAAACTTGATCGTTAAAATTAATACATTTAAAAATGAATATGAATGGATTACATTTTCTCTCAGCACTTAAATAGAAACCTAAAACCTTCCACCACATACATGTACAAGTAGTCTAGTAACCTCAGAGCAATAATGCTGTTTGTAATGCAAAGAATAAAAGTCCCCTTTGCTGCTGTGGCGGAAATCAATTTCACTGTTTTTACTTAATATTTCAAGTGATTTCACATCTTATTACAAATGTTTCAGCAAAGTAATGTGGAGGTGGCCACACTGTGTCTAAATCATACTGACAAGGCAACCAAAAAGTGGTTTTGACTAGCAAAGTAAGTTACCTTTACTTTAACATGTCCAATTATTGTCTCCTAAAACTGCAGGTTTTAGTTCTCCTAAAACTGCAGGAATATGTTTAAAAGAGCAACAGTTCCTACACGACTCATCTCAAATTAAAGACATTCATTTCAAATCCAGTGTGCTGGACTGCAGAGCCAACACAACGAGAAGTGTGCCAAAGCACTGTAACTCATGTGATAGTGGAGTCCTCCCAGGGCACAGGGGCTCCACATACAAGCTGCTCTTCATGACCCTCCTACTCTGAACCTTCAGTGGGCCTCAAGCCAGCTTTGGGGCAAATGACGGGACTGAAATGACCTTTGAGCAGAGAAATCCCAATACTGGTAGATAATGAGGCCTATGTACTGTTGCACGTGTAGAGTTGCATGGCTCAATACTGCAATAACAAGAAAGGGTCCGACCTGTATCGTTGCAAACTTGAACCACCTAATGGCAGACGTGCAAGAGACACGGCACCATTAACTCCCCAGCCCACACACATCACTCCAGGTGTGCTGAGGTAAAGGCAACATTTGAGTTAATGTGGAAAATGACGTGACGGAAGCAATTTATAACAGTTGTCTGGCCTTAAAGTAATCAATTGTTGTTTTAACATACTATAAAAGTAAGATATAAACATTAATTAAGATTTTTCACATGGTCACATAAGCTGCTTATCAAGTAATAAGATTTCTTTCTCCAGCTTCCTCATTTTAAGTGCTCTGAATGCCATCTGCTGGTCACGGTTCTCAATCTCCTTTTTGAGGTAGCAGCAGTAAAGGGCTCTTATGTCTTCTGTCTGCCTCTGCAAAATAAATAAACACATATGCTCATATGGTGCTTATTATCCGTCATTACCATAGCCAGCTACTGACACATAAATCTCACCTCTGCACTTCTGCCACCGGTTGCAGCAGATGTGGAGTTGGCCCTCTCCTGGAAGCTGCTACTGTGCACGTTCTATACCAAAAACAAAAACAAGTCCATAATTAAGCATTCAAAGACAATCACCTCAAAAACACATGTTTAGAAGCTCTTACCCCCTCAAAATGAGTGTCGCTGACATCGGTCTCATCACTGCTCAAGCTCTCTGGTTCAGTCTTTGTTACAGGTAGCAGGAGGACGGGGTGGCCTGAGACTGTAGGGGCGGGGCAAAATATTGAATTAGATCAGGGGGACTTCCTACAGGGGTTTTAATCAGAGATTAAGCACACCTACCACTAATAAAAGAGCTGTCAGATCCAGTAAGTGGCTCAATACAGGCACCCCCAGGTAGGACCTCCACTCTCAACCTGTTGTCTTTGTGCTGCAGCACATCCTCCTCTGCAGAGGTTAGCGACGGGGTTGCCGACCCCCCTTCATTCCTCATCACCTCGACCCTCCTTCTTTTTGCTGAATAAGGATAGATTTGAGAGGTGAAACACTCCCCTGGACATTTCATCCTTGAAAATGTAGACTTGCAATAACACGGCTACCTGTTTGCACTATATTTTTATGTTTGACTTTCACTTGCTGCCACGTCCTTTTGTAGCCGCTGTCCGACACCCTGGGAAGACAAATTATACAGTTTTTATGTGTCAGTGATGGTGAGATTATTGGAAAAATTCAATTCCACTTAGCCGCACTTATGTGTGAATAAATTATCTTACGCGTTTATTTTATCAGCAATTCTCTGCCAGGCCTCCTCTCTCAGTTTAGAGGCGCTGGTAGTGTTGGATTTGGCTGTCAATATCTCTCTCTCTTCTTCATACAACTTCAAAATGAGTTCCTGCTCTTTAGAGCTGAAAAAATGTGCCCTTTCATGTTTTTTCATCATCTCGAAATCTAGACCAAAACACAAACATAAAGAAATTATACATGTATGAGTCAAAAGTAATAAACTGTCACGCTATGAGAACTTGAAGAAGGTCTCCTCACCTCTGTCTGTGTTCATGGATTGTGATCCGGGTTTCGGCGTGCGATTGATCTCCCCTTTATAAAGGAGCGGGCGCGCGCAGTTATCCGAGATGTTTCAATGCTAGATTTACTAATCAAATCGTAAACCGCTGTCGTGAGACGGAATAACCCCGAGATTAATCGATGCGACTGTAAGTTGCGACACGCATCGGTTATCAATGACTGTCTAAGCGACGGATACGGGGGGAAAGATAACTGGTTTCATGAAGCAGGACATCAGCAAGCTTTGTTAACCCAGGATTTTCTAATTCGGCTTAAGGCGCGTTCACGTGAAAGAGGTGGAGTCTGAAACGAAGAGTCACGTGTAACGGAGCGTCGCAACAGATGTTAAATACCACCTTAATGTTATTAGTGTCTGTGCTTTTCCTACTATAATAAATAAAAATGTCTGCTGTGGTGAAGGATATGAAACCCAGTGAGGTGCACACATCACACAAACTCAAGTTCACTTTGTTTGGTGGTTATTTGCAAGTATTCAGATCCTTTATTTAAGTAAAAGTACTAATAATCCACTACAAATAAAAGCCATGCATTCAAAAACTCACTTCAGTAAAAGTATGTAGCCTAAGTATCATCAGCAACGGTTACTAAGTAATTTACTAAGTATCACAATAAAAGTGCAGTAAAATGTTCCCTGTCAGTGTCTGACTATTATTAAGATTTATATTACTGCTGCATTAATGTGTATTTTGCATTTTAGTGCTGTAGTTGTTTAAGGTTGGGCTCATTTTAATTACTTTATATGCTGCTGGGTAGTTCTGCAGTAATGCATCATATTCTATGAGATCATCATGTTTGTAGAATCGCCGTCTTATGAGCTGCTCATAAATCTTTGTGGAGATGCATTTTCCAGCTGAGATTAAGAGACTTTATCACTTCACCCCTTAGTTGAAAGGAAAAAAAATAAGGTTCAGAATCACAGTATGAGTGAGATACATGGTTTTTACTACACAGGAAGGGCACAAATAATTGCAATCAAAAACTATTAACTATAGCTGTCGGACAAAATTAGTGGGGGGAAAAGTACAGTATTTGTCCCTGAGATGTTGTGAAGTATATTAAATATGCACATTTCAAGTATAGGCTATCTTGACTTTGCATTTAAGTACAGTAGAGTTGAGTAGATGTACAGATACTGATCTCAACATTCATACACAAAGAGCTGGTAAGTGATTCAGTGTAAAATACATTTAAATCTCAACTGTGATAAAAAACAAAACAAACAAAAAAAAAGCACCTCAACTTAAATTCTGGGAATCATGTAGACATCAATGTACTCCATGTCATTTTAAGAAATGATAGGGTGTAATTTTTCTCACCTTTACAGTTGAAGAAAACACACAAACAGTCTGTACTACAGTGAAATCACCTGTGTGGGCGAATGTCTACAGGGCCTTTAAATAGCTAAGAAGTTAAACAGATATCTTAAACTAGTTTCACTGCCATAACTTATCTAAATGTTTTTTGAAAAAAAAAACAAATAAAAGGCCTATAAGTTTTTAAAAATACTTATGGAGGTGAAAAACACTACATCAACACACATGAATTGAGGTAATAGTTACTTTATTTATGTTAATTCAGTTTAAACGGACATTTTGTTTAATGGTCCAGAAGAAAGAAGAAAAAATAAAAACAGTTGGTTCGGGTGCCCCATGTTCAGAGCACAGAGGTAAAACAAACAAGTAGAGTAAACTGTGAATGGATGTGTGGTCCAGCTAGAAACGCTGAGGGGGGATACTGGTCCCTGTGCCGGTTACGAGGTCTGAAGAGAGGGTTTACTCATGACCCTCATAGCCGTCAGGAAGGGCATTCACATGGGCGTTGTGGAAAAGGGATTTGGTGCCATCTCCCCAAGGGAAACGCTGTGAGAATGGAAAAACACCACATCAGTCAAAATATCGATACCATTTTGACATGTGAAATATTTGGGTTGCATAAAAACAGACCTTTGTGCGAATGCGAAGATGGGGGTAAGGGACAAACTCCGGCTGTTCGTGGCTATGATTCTGCTCTTTCAAGAACATGTTCAACATGCACACTGCAACACCAGGTAGGGCAACCACGAAAGTGAGGATCTTCCATGTCTTGGCTGGAACAGAAAGACAAGAATGTTTAGATTAACAAAGAAATTATGAATCCAACCACACTAAGGTTTGTTGAGAAAAACCCTGCTCTTTAGCCATAAGAAGCTCCCTTGAGATGTAAGAAAATTATGTTTCTTTATGTTGTTTTTATTCTGCACATGGTCAAGTTTGATATTAGGAAATGTTTTATGAGATCTTATGCTTATACTGGAAGCTACTTTCATAAAAAAAAAAGCTTGGAATAATAACCCACACAATTTTAAGCAGATTTATAAACCCTGGGATGCTTATAAAGGGAGTGACTGTCAACATGATGCAAATGGTATTGAGTAGAGCTGCAACGATTAGTTGTCAATTATTAAATTAATCAACAACTATTTTGATAATCATTTAATCACCTCGAGTCCTTTATTTAAAGAACAAACATCCAATTTCTCTGATTCCATCTTCTTAACTGTGAATATTTTCCGGTTTCTTTGCTCCTCCGTGACAGTAAACTGAATATATTTGGGTTGTGAACAAAACAAGACATTTGAGAAAGTCACCTTGGGCTTTGGGAAAGTTTGATCGTCATTTTTCACCAGTTTTCTGGACCTAAAAACTTATCGATTAATCAATAATGACAATAATCATTAGTTGCAGCCGTAGTATTGTGGCAGAGAGTTTCCGGATTTAATCTATCTCCTCCCAGTTAAGGCCAGTCGAAACCATCAATATTTCAAACAGAAGGTGTTTTACAAATGTGATTCAAACTGTTTTCACTGTATGACTTTAAAAAAAAAAAACAAAAAAAAAACCATAATCTTGTTTTAGAACAGTTTCACCATCAGTTCCAACAAAAACTTCCATCAAATTAAAGAGCAGCGCAGAATTTATATTGATGTTTTATTATGTTTTGATTGAATAAATGTGATACTTGATGCTTGGTTGACACTTAAGACTTCTGTAAAACATTGAAAAAAAGGTCCCACTTATTTTATTTAACCTTTATTTAACCAGATGATCTCATTGAGATGTAAAACCTCTTTTCCAAGAGAGACCTGGCCAAAATAGCAGCACTTAAGTCATAGGACGCCATAACATGCTGTTAACTAAAGTCACATTCAACTCCAAGCTGTCTGATCTGCCTGTAAAAATATAAATCATCTCACTAACTGGACATTATTAACTTGATTATTATTACCGAGTAATTATCACATTTTCAAGTAATATAACAAACTCCCCTCTTTAATTAATTCATGCAGGTTTTTCTCTGTTTGTTTTAACATTACATATTTATTTAGCTCGTGATAATGCTATTAATTTAACCTTTCTCGTACGTACTTCACGCTCATATCTCACGTATTTCGTTGACCTGATGAAATAACAGTGCTAAGTTACTGTTGTTGCTGACTTTATCTTGACACTACTCCACTCTCAATCAATTTAAACTACATTAAGACAACACGAGTGACCTCTAATGAGGTGAGAGGCTGTAAGTTGATGCCGATTTAATTCAGAAAGCTTTTGTCTTGGAGCAGCTTCTTCTACGTGCTCTGCGCTCAAGGATGTCAAGCTAACAGTTGCTGCTAATGCTAACGCTAGCTCAGCAAGGTCACATTTAGAAACTTAAGTTGTCGTCAAAAACAGAAATGACATTAAACACAACCAGTTACGTAAAAAAATAAATAAATAGAGGTGCCACAATTACCTGCCTGCTCGCCGTGTCCGGCGGCAGCGGCAGCGGAAAGCTGACGCCGGCTCTGGGTCAAGGAAGACCTCAGCAACGCTTGAGACAACCGTCCGAGAGCCGCCATTTTCCTTTCTGTCAGACGAAGAGACCGGAAGGACTTTAGTACAGAGGTGTCACGTGGGAGCCGGACAGCGCCACCAAGCGGCGAGGCTGTGAACTGCAATCACCAGAACCAGATACTTGTAACAGTAGAAGTGGGTAAGTATAGAATATAATGACATATAAAATCTAGGAATATTAAAAGAAATGATAATAAATGTGGATATTTACAGTATTATACGGTATTACCAGAAGTGTAATGAATAAAAACAATATAGAGTAGTATTACTGCTCCTGGAGGTTCTTCTTCTTTATGAATGTATTGGCGGGTTGACAAACATCAGATTGGTGCATTACTTCCTCTACTTCCTCCTCCAGAACAATTGTTTCTCCTGTCAACCGAAGAAGCCTCCTCCGCTCTGCTATCCTCTCGATCCTCCACTTTGGAACTTCCCGAATAGTTCTGTTTTTGCAAAACAGATTTTTTAGTGAAGTGAGAGAAAATGAAAGAGTTCAGACTGATGACCGTGATTATTACCTTTCTCACAGACTTTCTCTTTACTGTGGCAGCAGCCAAATCTGCCTTGTCTCTGAGCAAAATCAACTCATCTGCCTCCAACCCCAGGGAACCGTTTTCCATGTTCTTGCCCCTCCTCATCCCCTCCGTCTCTCACAAAACAACCTTAATGACCCTCAACAGTCAGGCTTCAAGACTGCACACTCGCAGTCCCTCCGTGCTGTCAGAACCTGTTCTCATTCTCCTCAACCTGTCTGCTGCATTCAACAACCTGAACCGCCTGCAGTGCAGACTCTGCGCTATCCTGTTTCACATCCTATCTCACAAAATCGCACCTATCACATCACATGGAATGGCTCTATGTCCAAATCTTGCTCTCTTGACACAGGTGTCCTCCACGGCTCATTATTAGGACCACTCCTGTTCTCCCTAAACACCAGGTCACTACGCTCTGTAATCACATTACACAGCTTCTCCTATCCCTATTATGCAGACGACACTCAACTATTCCTCTCATTTCCTTCCTCTGCCACCCTGATTGCAACACGCGTGGCAGAATGTCTGGCCGACATCAGCCACTTGGACGAATGTGCATCACGTCAAGCTTAACGTTGACAAGACTAAACTCTTCATTGTGCCAGGGAAAGCTGCCCTCAAATGGATTTAGTGGTCACTGTTGAGGACATTGCAGTCTCTCCTTCACCAGCTGTGAGGAACTTTGGCATAGTTTTGGACAATCAACTGTGCTGCACTGCCAACATCACCACAATGGCCTGATCCTGCCGAATTGTTCTCTACGACATCCACAGGCATAAGTGCTCATCATCTCCCACCTTTACTACTGCAACGCACTTCTGGCTGGACTCCCTGCCTCCGCTATCAAACCTTTGCAACGTGTTCAATCTACCAAAGTCCTTCTATGTGACCCCCCTCTTCCATGACCTCCATTGGCTCCCAGTAGTAGCTTGTGCCACAGCCGCCCTAGTCACAACTTTAAGTCACAACTCTTCTCTGTTCTGCCCCCACAGTGGTGGAATGAGCTCCAGGCCAATGTCAGGACAGCAGAGTCGCCCACCAGTTTCCGCAAGACACTCAAGACTCAATTACTTGAAACTTGGTCTATTGACATCCTTACTCTACTGCTTTTTCACTTTCTTCTGACAAATGTACTTCTTGTTAGTCACTTTGGACAAAAGTGTCTGCCGAAAGCCCAAAATGTAAATGTAAAGTAATGTGTGTGCCATATTTTTATCATAGGACTGTAGGCAATGATAGATAATACCTGCATAGTTGTAGGGTCATTAAAAACATTTTCTGTACTTGTAATTGTTTCTTTCTAAAGGGGAGGACTGTGATTTTCTTTCTGTGATGTCATGATCAGAGTCCAACCAGAGCTATTCAGAGATATTCTGGTTGATGAAGGTAAGGGATAAATATTCTCTTTGTTGGTGGAATATGTTTGTTCCTGAAATGTTTTTGCAATTATTTGTTCCAACATTTATAGCAATGTGTAGAAATTGGCATTAATCACTATCATTTATGTACAAATGAGAATTGAATAGTCTGTATCATCGAAGACATTGCCTTTAAATTTAGTAAACCATTTAGTAAAATTAGCTGCATCTCTTTTTATTGTAAATTATAAATTACTGTATAATGCAGTTTACAACGGTAGAATTCTCTTTTATTTATTGAGCCGTTAATAGTTAACATATTCAGCTTAAAAACAAACAAGGGAGATTTAGTTGACCTCTTTTTTGCCATTGCACACTGAGAATCTCAAAATGTGTGCTAAATATGTTTATTATCAACCATAAACTGTACTTTTTCAAAATTACAAACAACAGCAATGTAGTTAGAAATTTTAGCTTTAAGCTTTTAGAAAAAGGGTTGTCAAGGAGAGCGATTAAAATATCTTTACAAAAAAACTGCTTTTAAATGCGTGGATCAGGTTTGTTAAACTATACATTTTAAATTTATGTTGGTTTTGAAAAGATTTTGACAAGTTTGATGCAGTTGAGTTACACTACTTCACATTTCAATTTAAAGGCAATGTTGACAGGCGTTCTCACGGACACCCATGTAAGCGCCTAACCTTGGTTTGAATACATCAAACATATTAATAAAATGGAAGTTTACTTGACAGGCATGATTCCCCAAATTAATTATAATATTCAGAACAATTGTGTTCCATTACTTTTATTGATGAAGGGACAGTTAAGAGATGCTGGAAATGTAGGAGATAAAGAGAGAGGGAACGATGTGCAGCAAAGGGCCATGGGTCTGTGGAACCTGGTTTGCAGCAGCAAGGCTTTAGCAGTGAGCTAATTGGCACCCCTCATTTTTAAATAGTTCTTAAGTAAGAATATGCCAAACTATATGATATGGTGTTTTATTATTTATTTATTTCACCTTTTGTAAAGCAAGTTTTTAATAATTTGGTAATGAGTTTTTACACCACAGTGATGTTTTGCCATCATCCTCCAAATATTCTCTGAAAACTGATTAAAAACACAGTAATGTTAATATAGGTTCTCCAAAAAAAGCTTTTTTTTGTAATCCTTTTAAATTGAACTAACCCATATGGCCACAAAAAAAAAAATAGATTTGCGTCCTTGACAGTTTTACTAAAAATGCCCGATCTCTTTCAGAAATGGAAACTCAGTATCACCAGTTTGGGTTGCCTGAGAACAGCTCTATCCAAGGAGGGCACAAAATGACTAAACCAATAGGTAAACAGGTACATTTTGATTTTGATGAAATAATTAATTTCAAATGTCACGCTAAACTATCTCTGTCAACGCTTATAGGTTTGAAGAGGATTGGGGCTTATGTCCTCTATGCAGTTGTGGTGCTGCTGCTGTTAATCCTACTGATGGTCACTGGAATAAGATGTACGACTTTTCAGTGAAGCTGATTCATTAATACTGATTTCATTTAACTAAATCACATTCTTTGTCTTATCATAGATTATCATACATTTTTTGTATCCCAAAGTCTCCCAGTTGAACAAGGGAATCACTGATGTTAAACTTCAACTTGAGAGAATCAATAATGGAGGAACGATGTCAGCATCCAAACCAGGTCAGGAAATGATTTCCACATGTGGATGATAATGAAGTAGCTGAACAATTCATGCCCTCTATGCAACTTTTATTTTAAAATGTTGTCTTTCCAAACAAAAGATGCAACAACTGTACTGGATGTCTACCTACAGGCACTTGTCCCAGTTAGAGGTAAACACCGAATACTTCAACATGAATAAAATCAGAAATCAGTCAGACTCTCCCGACTTGTCTTAATCTTGATCACACCAGGAACATGTAGGGAAGGATGGGTGTCTTTCCAGAGTAGCTGCTACTTGCTGTCCACCACTGCTGTTACCTGGCACAAAGCAGAGGAGCAGTGCCGAACACACGGAGCACACCTGGTGGTTCTCAATAATGTGGAGGAATTGGTGAGGTTTTACATTTACACCAGTTTGGTTCCGTATATTTTAAACAAGGGCTTTCCATTTTATACTATGAGGTGTGTGACTTAACAGGCTTTAAAATAACCTGTAGATATTATTTAATTTTACTTCTAGGACTACATTTCAAGAATAGTTGTAATCAGATACGAATATTGGATTGGACTTGTGGAGCGAGAACACGAGGGACACTGGAGCTGGGTGGATGGGACAGACTTCAAATCAACCCCAACGTGAGAGAAACGTGAAGCTATAAAGCAGAAACAAATAGTTTTGGGTGTTTTGATATGTTACGCTGTATGTGACAAATCACTCGTTCCTCCTCCTTTCCCAGTTTTTGGGACATAGGTCAGCCTGACGACTGGGACTACAGGGAGAACGGAGAGGACTGTGGGCAGCTTCATTCTTCTCAGAAACGCAAACGCAAGTTGTGGAATGATGCAGACTGTAACCTGAGGGAGCGGTACATCTGTGAGACCAGGGCATGAGAAAGAGAGAGGCCCTTTCAGAGCTGCTAAACCCTCACCGACATGACAAGCCTGATATGTTGAAAGATAATGGAAATGATGTTTTCAATTTACATGTGTAATTATGAGTGCATGTTACCAAAAGTGCTAAATGTTGCATATAGAGAACATGTGTGGTGCTTTTGTTGGACAATAAAACAATGACTATAAATGCAATGACACATCTCCTTTATTCCTTTAACCCCGCCTGCTGTCTCACAGGGATTATTGTCATTTAAATGATAGAAGAGAGCAGCAGTACAGTGAGGGAGAAGAGGAGGGAATAGGAGAAAAAGAACAGGGATGAGAACACACAATCTTTTCATCAATCATCCACATGAGCTACCTGGCAACGCTGGATATCCCTGTACTTACTGGTAACCCCCATCGCTCATCTGTCCAGTTTCTAAGGCCCACGGACTGGTAACATTTGGAGGCACCGCTGGGATATTTCCCATTTTATCAATGCTAGTTTTGCCCTTTTAAATCATTTTATTTTCATGCTCAATTAGCAGATTAACAGCCGTAGCAAAATGAATACTCAGGCCGATGCTCAGAGAGTTTCCCAAAAGGTACTTTTGTATTGTGTGACGTCCCGACTGACACTGACAAACCAGATGTTGAAGAAGCCGCTCAGTCAGTGAAAGCATTTGGAAGAGTAAAAGTGAGAGACATTCAGTGTGACAGTCAAGCTGGCCGCATCCCCCTCTATCTACAACCACTGATTGGAGACTCAGCATGGAAAATCTCACCCTGTGACTCCGATGATTCCTCAGCCAAGCTCAAATGATGTTCGTGTTGTCTAAGGATGTTCCACAGGAGAGTTCACCTGAGTCCATTATCCGAGCAGTTGGAGACCTGCTCCACCAAACAAAGAGACTTACCAATGAGAATCATGCATTTTGACGCCAACTGATGTTCTCTGGTAACCATCCCACATCTGCAGGTGAGGAAAGCCTCGATCAGTGGCCTTGATCAAGCCCGCCTAATGATTAAAGAATGTGACTGCTCGGACAGAGAGAATCAAAAGAGAACAATTGAGAGCTTGAATGAACCAGCTCTGGAGATAATTCAAGCCCTTGCTTCTAAATAAGCCTGATGCTAGCCCCGACTGCTGTATAGAGGCCCTAAAAAGTGCATCAACACCCAGGAGAAAAGCTAACTGACTTCTTGAAAAGATTGGAGCGCTCACTGACCAAGGTACTGCTGAAAGGTGGCCTTCCCAGCCACCGAGCAGACCGTCCTCGGATCAACCAACTCATCAGAGGTGCTGCTGAGTCAGATATGATGTTGTTACAACTGAGTCTGAGAGAAAGAAAAGAAAAACCTCCCACATTCTTAAAGCTATTAAATGAGATTCGTCAAGTGGAAGAATACGAGAAAGCGTGACGCAAATCAGGGCCAGGGCAAATTTCAAATCTCGCCTAGGGCTCCAACACTGTCAGGGCCGGCCCTGACGCAAATTAAACACAGCAGTGAGAAAAGTACAAAGCCAAAGCTACAGATGTTCAACAGTTGATGGCTGAGATCCAGGAGCTGCGTTCTGAACTTAGTGAGTTGAAAAACAGACAGGAAGACACACGCACTGAACCAAAGTCAAAACAAACCAAGGAAGCTACTGACACTGGAACAGAAAGTGATGTCCAGATGTCAGTATCGCACAGTGCAGCGGTGGCAGACTCTAAAAGAGGATGGACGCACGAAGCAACTCAGATTTCATCCGTTTGATAAGAATATGAAAATTTGGAAGTGAAATAAGGAAGTGAACCAAACAAAATACTGTATGATGCAAGAGTCAGAAACCTGACACTGGCAGAATGTGACTGGGTGCTGGATCGCAATCTTGGCATCACTGGAAAACACAAATTACAGGACAGATGTAACATACGTAGTGATTGCAAAGTTGCCAAATCTTCCTGTTTATCGAGTCACACCAGAAAGAGGGACTGGTATAGTAAAAAGAGTGCACAGAGATCACTTGCTCCCCATTGGTAACTTGGTGAGGACGCCCGCTCAACCAGAGAGAAAAGCACAACCTAACAAGACAATGACAAAGTCACATCAAGCAATGTGCGATACTGGGAAGTCGACATGTGAGTCAAGATGACTTGTCATCAGATTCTGAAGAGGAGAGGGAGGGTGTAGTCCGGTTAAAATGTGTATCAATAGTTTTGGGGGTAAACAAATAAATAACTTCATTGTAGGTTACAATGTCAAAATCATGGTTAAAATGCTCAAAGGGTTAAAATATTTAAAAATCCTAAAAATTATTAATTAATTAAAAATCGATATATGTGCTTTGTTTTATTTCATTTGATAAATGACTGTTCATTTATAAGAGAAATGTCTCTAAATTGCGTCACAAATGTGTTTTGTATTGTGATTGGATGATGGAGGAGAGGGGCCAGATATGCGCAGGAAGAAAAACCAGAGAGGGACAGAGCGAGTTTAGCGAGAGTTTTGGGGGGGTTGGTGTTTGTGTAAAGTTATCTGAGGAAGTTGTATTTTATCGGCTAGATAATCTTCAAGAAGTCAGTCGTCGGAAACTCAGAGAGGGATCCCAGATAGCGCTGTGAGGTACCGGAGTTGCTCTGGCAAAGTTGGATATCCCCGTACATACTGGCTTCCCCCATCTCCTCTGCCCAGTTTCTAACTTTTCTCTGGCGGACCACACATCTGGAAAAGGTACTGCCTATTGACTATTTCTGCTCCAGCTGGATTGAAGGCCCGTTGAACACTCCCCAGCAAGTAAACAGGCCTGCAACGTTTTTTATTTAAAAATTTTTTTAAAGGTGCTAATAAGTAGCTTGTTTTTTTTGTTTGTTTGTTTATATTTGGGGTGAACTAAATAACTGTAAGGTCAAAATTGGAAAACTGTGACAACCCTTGTTTGAAGAGAAATTGTGGAAACACTTTGATTGTTTAAATTTACATTTTATCTAATTAAATTAAAGTTGTTGCCTTTTTATTAAAATTAGAAGGTACTTATTTTCATTTCAGAGTGGTTTTCAGGTGTGGTTATTACTTTAGTACTATGTAGGTTTAGAGTGACTCCTAACACACCACCTTAAGTTAGTTTTATGCAATACAACTAGCAATATTAATAATAAAAATTAGCAGTTAACAGCAGTTATGACCTCATAGGTTATGTGATTTGCTGAAGGGATATGCTATTTTGGAGTATGACTTCGACATGTGGAGAGTAGTCTCAATTCTTACGTATTACACCTTTAACCCCCCACATTAAGATAAGAAAAGATATAACTCACAGACTTTGTCTAACCTTGACACCACCTGCCCCCTTGACCTGACCCCCTCCTCCCTTCTCTAAGCAGACTTAAGCAACATCTTGCCATTCCTCCCCACCTGGAACTTATTCCATCCGCCTTCAAGCCTCCTTAAGAAATCTACCCTTGACACTGCCGACATCTGTATCAACAGACCAGAATCTTCTCTCTCCTCCCTCTATATTATTATTTTATTATTGTATAAGTAAGCACATCGTGAGCAATGTACAATCCTGAGTCAAATTCCTCGTATGTGTACACATACCTGGCAATAAAGCTGATTCTGATTCTGATTCTGATGCACTGAACCAAAGTCAAAACAAACCAAGGAAGCTACTGACACTGGAACAGAAAATGAAGTCCAGATGTCAGTATCGCACAGTGCAGCGGTGGCAGACTCTAAAAGAGGATGGACGCGCGAAGAAAAAATATATGAGAGATTAAAAGTATCTGTATTTTACTTTTAATGACCTGCAACAAACAAGATCACATCAGACTAGTAACTCAGATTTCAGCCGTTTTATTAGAATATGAAAATTTGGAAGTGAAATAAGGAAGAGAGTCAGAAGAGAAACCTGACACTATCAGAAGGTGACTGGGTGCTGGATCGCAATCTTGGCATCACTGGAAAACACAAATTACAGGACAGATGTAACATACGTAGTGATTGCAAAGTTGCCAAATCTTCCTGTTTATTGAGTCAAACCAGAAAGAGGGACTGGTATAGTAAAAACAGTGCACAGAGAGATAAATTTTCTTTTTGTTGGTGGGATATGTTTGTTTTTTGCTTTTATTTGTTTCAACATTTATAGACTGTGTAGAAATTGGCATTAATCATGTACAAATGGCACCATGAATTATACACTGCATAGTCCATAACATTGAAGAAAATGCCTTTTTAGCAGAATTCTCTTTTATGTATTGAGCCATTAATAATTAACATATTCAGCTTGAAAACAAACAAGGAGATGTAGTTGACCTCTTACTTGCCATTGCACACTGAGAATCTCTAAATGGCTGCTGAGTACTTTTATTATCAACCATAAGCTTTACTTTTCAAAACTACAAATAACAGCAATGAAGTAAGAAACGTTAGCTTTTGATTCAAAATAAGTCACTAATAAATAAGGGTAGGCAGATACAGTAAGTTACACCACCCGACGATGCAGCTTCTACCGTCAAAGGCCGTAGTTTGTTGAAGTTACACCATTTGACATTTGAATTTTAAATCTAATTTTACAGGCGTCATCATGGACGCCTATGTAAGCACATGGCCTGAGTGTGAATATTTCAAACATGAGTTTTTGAATTAAATTTTTAATGCAACAACATACTTGGCCACACTCTAAAAATGTCTAATTATAAGTTAAAGAGAGTTAATAACCTTGGCATGCAGCAGTGAGGGTCATCAGGGGCCGTTCTCTGTGATATCATTTCTTGTTATGCGGTCTTCTTGCACAATATTAACAAAATGGCTCCTTGAATGGTGGTTATAACGCCTTGATACTTCAGCTTTTCTTTACAATAAATAGTTCTAATGTAAAATTATGCCAAACTAGTTGATATGGTGTTTTATTATTTATTTATTACACCTTTTAAAGCATGTTTTTAACTATTTGATACAAAGTTTTTACACCAAAGTGACATTTTTGCCATCATCCATAGACTAGGTCGTCCAAAAATGTATTTTAGAACATAATGCATTCATTTTCAGACCTTAATCCTTCTAAATTTAGCTAAACAGAAATAAAATAGTCTTTGACCGTTTTACTAAAAATGCCCGATCTCTTTCAGGAATGGAAACTCACCAGTTTGGGTCGCCTGAGAACAGCTCAATCCAAGGAGAGCACAAAATTACCAAACCAACAGGTAAAACAGGTACATTTGATGATTGAATAATTAATTTCAGATGTCACCTTAAACTATGTCTGTCAGTGCTTATAGGTTTGAAGAGGATTGGGGCTTATGTCCTCTATGGAGTTCCGGTGCTGCTGCTGTTAATCCTGCTGATGGTCACTGAGATAAGATGTACGACTTTCCAGTGAAGCTGATTCATTAATACAGATTTCATTTAGCTAAATCATATTCTGTGTCTTATCATTGAACAATTTTTGTATCCCAAAGTCTCCCAGTTAAACAAGGGGATCACTGATGTCAAACTTCACCTTGAGAGAATCAGCAATGGAACAATGTCACCGTCTATATTAGGTCAGGAAATTATTTCCATGTCTAGATAATAATGAAGCAGCTGAATAATTGATGCCCTCTATGCAACTTTTATTTTAAAATGTGTCTTTCCAAACTAAAGATGCAACAACTGTGCCGGATGTCCACACACAAGCACCTGTCCTAGTTGAAGGTAAACACTGATGAATAAAATCAGAATTCAGTTTTTTTTTTTTTCCACCAGTAAGATTCTTAAGTGTCTTAATTTACATCACACCAGGAAGATGTAGAGATGGATGGCTTTCTTTCCAGAGTAGCTGCTACTTGCTGTCCACCACAAGCGCAACGTGGCACAAAGCAGAGGAGCAGTGCCGATTATATGGAGCACACCTGGTGGTTGTCAATAATGTGGAGGAAATGGTGAGGTTTTACACCAGTTTGGCTCCATATGTTTTAAGTGGGGGCTGTCCATTTTATACTGTGAGGCTCCAGTGTATGCAGGGCTGTGATAAAGAGCACACATATCAGAGCACAACATTTCTCAGAAATAACAGGCTTTAAAATAACCTGTAGCTATTTTTTATTTTTACTTCTAGCACTACATTTTAGGTGTGACTGAAACCATATACAGCTATTGGATTGGACTTGTGGAGCTAGATGGACACTGGACCTGGGTGGATGGAACTGACTTCAACTTAACCCCAACGTGAGAGAAACGTAAAACTATTAAATAAATAAATAAAAAGCGCAAACAAATGGTTGTGGGTCGTTTGATATGTTACACTGTATGTAATAAATCACTTGTTCCTCCTCTTTCCACTGTTTGTGTCCAGTTTCTGGGATGACCATGAGCCTGACAACTTTGTTGACTACAGGAATGGGGATCAAGAAGAGGACTGTGCACAGCTTTATAAATATGGAAGGAAACCCCACATGTGGCATGATGCTCTCTGTTACGTGAATGACAACTATATCTGTGAAATCATGAAAGAGAGTGGGCCTTTCTGAGCTGCTGAACCCTCACCGACACGACTGGCCTGATATTTTCTGCTGTTTCATTTTTCAATTAATCATCTAGTGTCTAATCTAATCTAATCATCTTTTTAAGTTGGATTGCGCTTTTGGTTAGAGGACATACACAACAGGAAACAGCACATCCAACATTAATAGACGTCATAAATGTATTTACCATCAACAGTGTTTCCTGTCAAGCTCATCAACAGGTGTGACAGAACCGCCGTGCGCACAGAAGCAGACCTTGACTGCCATGTTTATATCTTATAAATATATGCAACATGTATACACACATATAGTACGTTTAGATACACAACTGTACATACGCCAATGCTTTGCACATCAATATTTGGTTATTATTTGTGTCATGTCGGATCATAGATGGTTTCCTATTGTGTTAACATAAAATATTCAACTTGAGTAATACACAGTGGAAAGTGGTGGGAACTCTGGCAGACACCTAGCTATTTACACAGCTGTGTGTTGGAAAGTTGTTTTAAATTCAACTTCTATTTAAAGAAGGCAAATGCAGAGCTAAGTGAGCACAGAGCGAACAGAAAGATAGAGCAGGCTTATGGAGTATTTGATTGTCTAACTGTTGTGTGAAAAGATCAAAAGACAATTGTAAATGTGTCTACTGCCTAACATGTAAGGGGAGAATAAAAATGCGAGTCCAAATGTGGACTTTCGGGATCATCTTGTCATGTTGTATTTCTTGTGTATTTCTTGTGTATTTCTCATCCTACACAAACTTAATTACCTGAAAGCTTCAGCTACCGACAGGAGGAGGTAGAACTCCAACCTCAGCTATTCATTTTGAAGAAGATGGTAACAAAAAACTATTATGTTCATTGTTTTCGATTTGGGAAAATTTGGGAAATGACTGCTTCTATATTGTCTATAAATACATCCAGCCTCCTTCATGACTGGACAGCTGATGTGCAGTAACATTTAGATTTATCCTAAAATAGGGCACTAGTGGAGCTTGTGGCATATACCTGTAGTTGTTCCTGTTTGCTCACTAAAGTTACTGCTAAAGTCAGACTCAGTCCAATGAAACTTAAAAAGCGATTTTGTGAAAATAAAGTTTGAGCTGTCAATCGTCTTGCTCACTGCTTCTCCTTAGAGATAGCTTGTTTTTTAAAAGCAAACAGATAATTGACTGGTCTTACAGACAGATTATATGTATTATATGCAAATACTCACACTTGTGACTAAAGGTGTTGACTACATGTTGAGTAGAAACCAAATATTTTTCACTCCACCCCCTGATTTCACTCTTATCTCCAGTGTTCTCTCACCTCCCGTCCTATAAGAACAGGCTGCGCCAAAATCCATGTTTCTGCCTGTAGCCATGAATGTGATTGCTCCTCCGCTGCTGCTGCTTCTCACAGGTAGGACTAAGAAAAGCTGTCAATATAACATTTATTGTAAATAATCCCTCTGTATAAGTGCCTTTTTTATATATATATATATATCTCGCACAGTACATTTCTATTAATTATTTTTTTAAGGGTGTTCCTTTGCTCCTCATTTGTTCATCATGTGCTCTTATTTGTCTGCCTCACACGTCTTTCCCAGCTTGTATGGTCAGCGGTGCGCTGCTGCCCAAGGCCTTATGGCAGTTTGGGAACATGATCTCGTGTGTTCAGCCTGGTGTCAGCCCTCTAAAATACAACGATTACGGCTGCTGGTGCGGCCTTGGAGGGAAGGGAAGCCCTCGGGACGAAGTGGACATGTAGGGAGCCGTCAATGCCCAATTTTGTTTCCCAATCAACCTGTTTGGGGGTTTTTTTTTACGTAAAAGAAACATGGGATTCATGCACTCTTTCCTCATGTATTTTTAGGTGCTGTAAAGTTCATGATAAATGCTATCACACAAGCAGAACAACTCCTGGATGCACAGCTATTGCTGACCTTCCTTATGTTCTTGTTTATGATTTCACCTGTTCAAATCAAGAAGTGACCTGCGCAGGTAAGACAGTGACACGACTAAACTGTCATGCATTGACACAACCATTTGGACATTCAATTTCAAGTATTTTCAGTGCCTTTTGTGATGGCACTGGTGAGAATTAGACAAAATGCTTGATTTTTTTAACTCCAGACTTCAAATAAACCCTGGAAAAATGTATCTAACAGTGGCTGTGTTGAAAGTGCAGCATTGAAACTATTAAGTAGCTCTACTGAAAACATAATAAATTAAACAAGGCTGCATTCATGGCCCTGTGTGTAGGTTCTGTTTTTAAACACCTATATATAGGTATATAAATATATAGGCACAGCCAGGGATTGAGGTTTGAGAGTACTCCAAACAAATGCTCTCCTACTACTGTGGAGCACGATTACACTGGCATTTAGTGCACCCAACCACACTATTCATGGTATGTGTACGTGTGCTTCACTTCTTGTTATTATTGAGCAGAAATAATGACCTAACTCTGTCTCTGCAGCTACCAACAATAAGTGCCAGGCTGCCGTGTGTGAGTGCGATCGGGTAGCGGCTCACTGCTTTGCTCAGGCCACATACAACCCTGAGAACAAGAACCTGGATCCCAAAGTCCACTGCATCAACTGAGTTATATAACCCACACACACAAAAAAAAACATGCAAGAGAATGTTGGATTTCTGACTTTTATTTTTAAAATTTAAATTTCTCTATAATTTTTAAAAACAAAACTTGATTTAAAAGACGTTTGATTTTGTAAAAAAGCATCAGTCTGAAATAAAACATGCACGTGAGATTGTCAGTGTGAAGCCTTTCAATTGGATTTAAACCTCTGCGTGTCTGTTTGCTCACATACGGAGAGCCCGCAGTGTGTATCAGAGGCTGCAGCTGTGCTTATCTCACTAGTTTCTTACAATGTCCAGGTCACTTAAATTTGTAAAACCACACCTGAGGTTTTGTTAAAAAAGTAAAGAAAATGAAAATCAAGTGTTGAGTCTTTGTTCAGGCAGGTTTCCCCTTGTGCGTTTGGTCTCTCTATAAATCAATGCACAAGTCTGCGTCAAGTAAGGGGAGAATGAAAATATCCACTTGTTCCCATGTCTCTTGGAGTTTACGGTTGATACAGACTTATCATAGGAAAGGAGGCTTGTAGTTTTGGTCGGATCACAAGTTACACTTAAGTAAAATGTCAGATTACAGGACGGTAAAAAGAAGCTTTGGCAAACTGATATCAGGAAGATATTTAGGTTCAGTTTCAACAAAACAATCCAAGCAGCAGCTATGTGCAACAACTGACATTTTGTTTTATTATTTCAAAATAAGTGTCTGGATCATGGATCTGTGGATTATACTGGCTTGTAGAGAAGAGTGGTCACGTACTTCTTTTTGTATCGGTGTGTTGCGCTGAGAACCATCACCCCATCCTAAAAGACAGTGACAAGAGGAGTAGTTAAATACAAATTAGGTTTATAGCTTAAGTTTAAAGAGGTGGTATTATGCTTTTTCGCTTTCTCCCTCTCCTTTATTAAGTTATATACCTTCTTTGTAAATGTAGTAGGTTTGTGAAAAAGCCCAAAGTCCAGCCCAAAGGGAGTTCCCATCTCCCACAGAAAACTCTGCTCTGAGCTGCCCCTAAATAAACTTATGACCCTGAAAATGAGCATAATATGACCTCTTTCAACTGTTCAAGCAGAAATTGTTTGACTTCTTGCTGGATTTCATTGGAAGATTGTTAAAAGTATTGTGATTACTGCCAATAAAATGTTATAAATAAAGCCACTATAGTTCACTGAGAATTTATGCCCAATATACATTTCATGTATATTGTACAGCCGGCCTCACCTTAAAAATGGCGGTATAGGTCAATTAGCAACAAATTCCATGTAAGGAGGGTGGTGGGGCACAAGACTTTCACTCTGGAGACAGAGGTTCAAGTCCCGTGTGAAAGGAAGTCAAAGTTGACTTGTTTTAAATTACATTTTGTAGATGACTTTCGTCATGTGATTTCGTAGGCTAATGCACTTATTTTAAGCCAAACCACCCATCTTTTCCTAACCCGTACCAAGTGGTTGTGTTGCCCAAGTAATTAGGTACAAAAGTTTGTACAAAACGTTCACAACATTTACCCCGTGTTAAATTTCATGTGACTTAGGTCAAGTGACTTACATAGAGTCCTTAAGGACCTTTACAGCTGTTGCTGGACTGGTACTAGCCAACGCTCATGTCATTTTGAGCAATGCTCATAAATGTATTTGTATTTTTCAACAAGCATACTGTATTTGTAGTTTTGGGCACTATTTTGTCGTTTAGGTACATATTGTACGTCAAATACGTGACAGGAAATATATAATGTTTGTTGGTAACCATGTTTATGTCCTGACAAAGTCCGTGGAGTTGCCCAAAATATTTTGTCTGGTTGATCCGTTATTCCCAATAAACAATTCCATTTAACAATAAAAAAAAAAACGCAGATACATGTTATATGAGGATGTGTTACCTTGATGGAGAGGGCGTACAGGTGATTGAGCATCACATGATTGGGCTCTGGAAGCAGCGTCGGGTCACACTGATGAGGATTCAGAGCGAGGATGAATTTTACTAAACTGCATGCTGTCAAAAGAGGTGTGCACCAATAAAGGCGAGCATGTATTCCAGCATCAAGGCTCTACTTACAGAGATACCTGTGTCCTTGTTGAGCAGCACTTGCAGCAGGTGGGGAGGTAAGATAGGAGGGTTTTTGAGCTTGTCTTCTGACTTGATCGCATATGCATCCTGTTGGTAAGGGCCCGGAGGGGAACTGGACAATTCTGGGAAAGCATGACGACACTATTTGAATATAGCTTTACAACAAAAGTTTATTCTGGATGAATGCATTGTCCAAAAAGGTTTAGTTAACTTTACTATATGGATTTACTGCACCCGACTAAGTCAGACAGTGTCACACAAGTCATTTGTTCTAATATGGGCTACATTCCACTATTAATAAGTGAACACCTTTTATAATAATTGGCCAGTCTGGACGTAGTTATTACTAAATGAATACAGGTGCCAGTACCTGAGATGTCTGCAGAATCCTGCGAGTCGATCCTGAGGGCATCAAAGACTTCAAAGTCGGTGTTCTTCACCTGGATGACATTATTAACTGTTCCAGTTTTAGACGTCATCACGGCCTGGGAAAAAAGAAATGTCATATAGAAGCTTGGGAGTGTAGAGTAGGTATTTGTGCTAACATAAAAAAAAAAAAAAGATTACACCGGTGGTTCTAAAGCAGTGGGTTATCCCTAAAACGTTAAGCTTTCACTCACTCCAGTAGGATCCAAGGTCCACTGACCGTCTACACAAAACTTGTACTGGTGCTCTCCCTCCGGCAGATCCACAATAGCCACAAAGTTCTTCTGACTGGAGCTATTTGAGAAGAAAACCATGTGTGACATTCCCATCAACTCATTCAATCAAGGATGTACAGCCTTGTGAAATATTCTGCATGAGTCGGAGCTACCTTTTGTTCAGGGGGATCTTGGTGGCCCAGTTGTTAAAAGAGCCGGACACAAAGACTTCCTTGGCGACCCCCGGCCATCTGAACACAGTTGGTCTGTCCTGCGTTTGACTTTTGCTGTCACTCTCAAGGTCCTGCTGCCAGGCCAGAAATTCCTGTATTTCCTGTGGCGCCTGTCCAGCATGATAATGTATGGTTGACATGTTAATGAGAGCACCTTCGGCCTTTGCCTCTCAGTGTGTTTGTGTGTCCTCCTCATAAGAGCTAATGAGAACACACACACAATATATATATATATATATAAGCTTCGTGCACATTGTTGTATTTGGTTCTTCTGTCTGGAGTTTCAGGTAAGTCGGATGAATCCAAATCTGTTAGCTAAATATGTTAGCCACATCTGCCAGTTCAACAGAAGCGATAGATAAGATGAAAAGCTTTTATGATAGTATGTATAATTTATATACAAACTGTAAGACTTTACCTGAGAATACAGTATATACATTATGACCTTGTCTACATCTATGACTCACATTTGGCACATCCTTTATATATGCTTTAATTTTGCATATTATTCTTAATGTATGGAGCTAATGTATCTACACCATTGTATAAATTTATTGAACAACTGGCTGGATGATTACAGTCTATGTTCACAGCACAGTAATGGGTCATATTTTATTATCTAATATTTCAATATTTTAATTCTTCTTGCTATATTTCATCAGTGTTCCCTGTTTGAATGGACCACACCAGCCAGTGTGTTTGCATGCACAGATAAAAACAAATAGAGCCTATAATACTGCTACACAAAGCATGCCAGAGGTTTTCAAATGTATTTCCCTCCTTCCAGGCAGCCTCTGTAGTTCTTTTCAATACAAAAATCAATTAGCAGACACTTCAGATTTATGGGTCATCAATCACTGTGAACGTTTAGCCGCTTTTTTTGTTACATTATATCTGTGCACTGCACAAACATGGGACTCTTTTGTAAATCCTTCATTGCAATTTTTGGGTGGGAAACTGCTGACTTTAAAGTTGGTTGGGTGGATTGAGAAATCTTTTTATAGCAAGTTATTAAAACTACAATCACATTATCTTCTTTATAAAACCCATGTTTGCTCTCTGTTTGTCCTCCAGATTTGATTATCTCGACGACATACAGAACGAGAACACGACACCATTTGGCAGCTGGCTCTCTACTTTCAGATGCTTTAAACCGGCACCTGAATGCACCAATAAAAAATATAAAAATGTCCCCCTCTCCCTAGAATCAGCTTTATTGCCAAGTATGTTTACACATACAAGTAATTTGCTTTGGTGACTTGGTGCTGAGCAGTAAACATAAACTTATATTATTAAATTCCAAAAAATCTAAATGTATCAAGAAAGACATGACATTTTGACCTTGTTACCACTTTTTAAATACAGTTTATGTCACAAAACTAAAGCTTCATGCCCTTTTTGCTTTGAGAGACTGTGGCATCTTATCTTTGTCACATTAGCTGCTTTTTTGGGGAGCACAATGGTTCAGCTTAACGTGGCAAATAAAAAGCTTTTAAATATTCAACGTGTAGGATTTCCTATCTCAAATCAATCTAAAAACGTACTTAAATTTATGACAACGATCACTGGCAACTCGAATGAATGAAACGCATCAACTAGTATGGTCCTTTCATGATGTAATGGGGTAGTCCAGCTGTTAAAAGGCTCTCTGGTTTCATAACATAGCTACAGTCTGTTGTAAGCTTCTTTTCAAACCTTTGCATCTTCTCTTTGGAAAAGGTCTCCGTCCTCTGTGCTGTCGATCAGGATGTTGGGACGTGCCTCTTTCCCTCCCTGCTGTCCATCTCTGAATGACCTCTCCCCCTGACCCCCGCTGGACCTGTCACTGCTGCTGTTCCCCATCCCGGGGGCATCAAACCCTGCAGGACACACACCAAGATCAAGGTCTTTTATGTCTAAGGACATGCAGGGCAGAGACACCACCACCAGGAGCCCTATGGTGCTCCCTGGATCGACCACCAGGGGCCCTTCTGTCAAAAGGTCCCTTGCAAAACGACTTGACAAACACATTTCGCTGTTAAAACAAAATACTGATTGTTTCGCTTTATCTACAAGTTAAATGCAAAATCTTAATACCCACCGAAATCTTCTCAGATGCTGTGTGGATGCAGTCTCACAGAAAATAGGTCTCTGGTCTAAAGCAGGCCCACATCTGTGTGCGGGTTCTGGTTGTAAAACTGTCTCGTGCCCTGGTCGTTGTTGTTTCCTTCTTTGAACTGGAGAAGTTTTCCTCTGGCGCTGAAAATGCGCGCACGGGGCAGAGCGGTGTTCACCGTGCCTCAGATTCACAACACACAGACTCGTGTTTTATTCGTGCTCTCTGTTTTTCCTACCTGTGTTTCCTATTTCATTCTGTGGTCAGCTGTGGGTACTTTGCGCGTTTTCACCATTTAGTAATAGCTTCGGGGAGTGTGTGTGTGGTGAAGAAAACACACCTCTTCCGCCTCCTGTCCTCGAGCTCTGGGAGAGTTAAAGTTTAACCCGATTGTCGCCAGCTATTCGGTGGTAATGGCTGATTAAGATAAATGATGTGGTTTCAAAAACTGCGCTTTAATGATAAAATAAAGAGCAAAGCTGCTGGTTGGGTGAGTTTCAACAAATAAGAGAAGAGATCAAATAAAAAATCATTACTCTAAGGGAGTCAAAGGAAAAACAAAAGGCACATATAAACACACACAAACACACAATAGGCCTATTCCTGAAAAAATACTAGCAGGGAGTAGCCTGGATCAGCGGTTCCCAACCTGGGGGTCGTGGTCCCTCGAAGGGTCACACAGTAGGCTAACGTAAATCTAAGGGTGAGACAAATAACAGGATGAGAAGCAGAAAAAACCTATTGTTTTGCTAAATTAAATACATTTCCCGCTTATATTTAGTGATGTATTCTTGTAGCTTTCATCAGCCAGTCACACAGTTTAAGTTCATTTCATAATGGCACCTATTTTTGTCCACTTCAAGCACTGAGTATTGGGTAGGCTAACTAGAGCTAATATGTTAGCCAAGTTTCACATGATAACAACGTGATAACATTGTCCGTCTGAATGTCCAGTAAGCTAATTATCTGCAAGTTAAACGGATGGATTTGGATTTTTATTTTGGGTTTGTGAAATATTTGTTTAATGATTATTCTCTATGAGAATGCTCTGTATTGCATTAGACTCATTTTATTGTTTGTGTATTTTATTCTGTTTAGTTCTCACGGCATGCCCGACGACGTGAATGTGCTAATAAATGCCTGTAACCAAAGAAAAGCCTTGTGTTTGTGATTAAAACTGGAGGGGAGCTACAGTTCTCGTGCATTACTGTAGGCCTTTAATTATTCAAATACTTTTACTTTTTGCTTGACTTGTTCCTCACTCACTGAGGCAGCTGTTGACAATGGTTTGCAAGTATTGTGTGTGTGTGTGTGTGTGTGTGTGTGTGTGTGTGTTTTGGAGTATTAAAAAATGTATACTTTGGATGAATAAAGTATTTTGGATCATAGGTTTGTGATTTTTTTAAATGTAGGCGTTTTTGGTCATGGTTTGCCGTGAGCAGACAGCTTCGGCCAGTAAAGGTGGGATAAGCGATTCTGATCCAGAACACGTCTTTTAGTCAAATTCAGCTAATATCTCCTCACAGCATGCGCTGAAAATAAATCTAGTGTTTGTACTCAGCCCTGGCTCTGTAAATCAGAAACAAACAAAGCAGCCCGCACCCCACCACACAACACTATTCCAGCCGTGCCAGCCATGATGTATGTGTCAGGTAATATGACTTGCCCACGGACATTCAGCTTAGTTTCTAGTTTACCCAGACTTGCTGTGGTTGTGATGTTAGTTACACTAGCAGGACAGTTGTGAGTATCGCTGGTGTGCTGGCTCTGGGACCATCTCATCCTCTTTGCATATCAGCTTCGCAGCAGCAACTGTGCTGCCAGTATGCTAACCCACAACTTAACCTATGTTAGTTTCATTACTTGCTGTGTTGGTGTTGGCTCTATATCATGGTATTTCTCATGGTGTTGGATTTCTCCAGAATCGCTTACTCCACCTTTAAGAATTCTTCAGCTCAGCAAAAAGAGTGTCCTTGTGCCTTATCACACTGATTTCTCTGAGGCGTTCTCACGGCTATCCTGTTTCACTTATCTGCAGCCTGTAACTGTGCACACTCAAATAATAACAGAACGGCATCAGTGTTTTAGAGCGGAGGTGCAGAGCCTGTAATCAGGGTTTGAGTCAGTTAGAAAACCACTGATATAAACATCTAATTTTTGTTGATGATGCTGCTTTATTTTACTACTTTACTTTACTGTAGCACCAAACTGAAGACTGAACTTTAGCCCCTCAACAACCATTTTATAAAGCAGATATCTAGAGGATTTTATTTCACACTGTTGGATGCTATCGGCTTGTTCCAACTTTATAGCGTGAGTGAAGTATTCAAATTTCAAGATCTTTTTTTTTGTTCATAATTTTACTGATGTCCCCAAATTAAGCCCGATGTATTTGATATATTTGGAAACTCTTGGATCTATACATTAAAATAAAGTTCTTTTGGTTTGAAATATGATTGGCTGCACAGTACAAACTAACCAACATTCAATGGTCAGAATGTGGGAAAAAAAAGGATGTAATAATAACAATGATCACCAGTATTCAAATGTAAAGAGAACTACGCTGGACACTTTAAATTAAATTGTTCATGTCCAAAAGTAAGTGAAAGTTTGTGAAGCTGATATGAGAAAAGGCTTATTTCACACTGAATAATTTGGTTACAGAGAGGTTAAACTCCCCTGTGTGTTATGATGCTGCTGGAGGACGAACTCAGTGAGGGAGGAACTCTATGAATCACACATGTGACCGTGGGTGTGCAAGGCCTCTGTCTGTCAACCGTGTTACAGCTCTAAAGAAATAGAAAATAAAAGACTATATATATAATATATCGGATTGCTGGTGAGCTGGCTCACATAGCAAACATTCAAATACAGGAACCTGATGAAAAGTGTGGCAGTGCTTGCTATTCATTCATTTGCAATGCTGCATGGAACCGTGGTTAAAATCCCCCAAAATATTCAAAACATTGTGTCCACCCATGCATTCATTTTCTTCCCCCTCTGGGTCCAGATCACAGTCCCAGCTACTTCTTCTGGCTCTCCTTGTGGGATCACGAGGCATTCTCAGGTCAAATGTGTAATCCCTGCCAGTGTGTTCCACTTTACACTCCAACTACTCGTTTGCATGAAGCAACAACCTCACAACCCGCATCTCTGCAGCACATCCAGTGGTACAGAATATGGTCATCAGCCTTTTTCAAGTTCAGATCTTCTTCTTCAGCTGATGTCCTCCACCAAGTTTCTGAGCCGCCGTGGAGACCTCCTGGCTGAGAATATTATCTTCCCCAAAATGACTTGGCAGTAGGATCCTCACCACATTTTTGTGGGCTTTATCACGCCCATCGAGCAGTCGTTTCATCCAGCTGACCAGTTGACATGTCTGCTCTTCCTTTTGTCTTTGGGCTTACAGTTACAGTTCATACGAACATGTAGGGCACCAGACAGAGATGCATGGTGCGCTACAAACATTTTTCAGGTGCTGGATACAAGGTACAAGTCAAAAACAGAGGAAAAAGTGCATCACACACTTTTAGTGCTTCCAGGGTCGCAGGAAGGTACAAACCCTCCACCTTGATAAGCTGGTGATTCAGCTTTAATTTTCTCTGTAATTAATGTGCTGAATCACTGCGCGGCCTGAAGATTAAATGCTCTATTTTTAGCCTTGTAACAGTGTTAATATTACATATCAGAGTACACGATCCCTCAGACTCAACAAACTGCAACAGGTGTCAAAGATGGGTATGAACTAAGGCCAGATGGTGAAGCAGAGTGAGTATCATAAAACCCACCCACTACTATCAGTATGCAGTATCTGCAGTATCTTGCTGTATGATGCTATTTTCTGCTTTGATGTCCTCAGAAATATGGATTGTGTCATTGTCAACTACTTTTCATTTTAATCTCAGGATGTTTGAGTCATTTATTCACAACACTAAAATCTAACTTTCAAATGAAACTCATTTTTCAATCGTAGTACATTTACAGTTCTTGTGTTTACCAGACTGCGTTTTTTGAAAGAAAACCTTTTTATTTTACATTGTAGTCCCCATGTACACATGTAAAGTGAAGCAGAGCAGCGTGTCAAAGATATTTCTCTGCTTTAATTGGCAGTGTTAGATCACAATTAATAAGAAATAAGTTATTAATAGCTACAGTAAACAATAAGATTTAATGGAAGTTGTCAAACAGTATTGGTAGGGTCCTCTTTCATAGAGACAAATGCATGATCATTCCTTTCACCTTGCAAATACAAAAACTGTGTTTGCAATATCATCTGCCAAGGCCAAACCAAGGCGTATTTGGCAGTAAAGTGAGACTCAGCCAGCTCTTACAAAACCTCCAGAGCTGTCGGTGCCACAAGCAAAGCAGAGATCCTTTGCATCCCATGGAGCGGATCCCTCTGTGACAGTTTCACCTCTTCTCTACTTCCACCTCGTCTTCCTCCTCAAGAGCTCACACCACATGCTGTGGAGGAAAAAGAATACTTGAAATCTTTCCATCTTACTGTTCATTTTTCCATCACAGATCTGGTTACATTCATACCGTAGTAAAGTGCACAACGATGTACGCAGTGATGCTCACAAAGCCAATGATAAAAGAAACAATCCCCAGGTGGAGGGCTTTCCGACCCAGCCGCTTGGAGCCGTCATAGTCCTTTTCGTTGTAGCTCTTTTGGGCCTATAGGGTAGGTGAAAGGTTCAAATGAAAGTTTAAGACATTTGAATCCCACTCAGGTGGCAGTGCTGATGATGTTATTTGAACAGGCTTGTACTGTGAAGACAGAAATAGTGTCGATAAGGCAATAAGCCCCACAGTAGCAAGTTTCACATGAGTCTTTCATGGAAATCTGTTCTGAACATTTAAAGAGAAATGATTCCCTGCCTTCCTTTGCATCCACATTTATCCCACTCTAATTCATATTTGTATTGCAGCCAATGTCCTCAGCAATGGTGTGGCTACAAGCCTCATCTTGTTACTCACAGCTGTGTCGACACAACAGCTGCTGTTGGCACATCGACTCATCACAACTCAAAGACTTGAGACGAACCTAAATGTGTTGCTCCAATCTAACACTTCAACTTTTAAAACTCTGTGGCTTCTTGGCAAAGGAGGAACACTTATGTACCAGAGAGTAGAAAGCTGCAGGAAAGATTTCCCTTTCGTTGAAACACAGATTTCAGCAAGCAGTTATGAACATGGTTTGGCACTTGGATGTAGTCTATAAACTGGAAGTATATTTGATCTGAGCACATTTGTTGATGGGGTGGACGTGCAACTCAGAGAAGCGGAGAGGCTATTTCTGCACCTTAATAAATTAAGTGCAAATATGAGTCATTTGAAGCAATACATAACGTGCTTGCTGATGGATCAAGCCACATAAATGGCAATTAAGTGTTAATGTACTATATACCCAGAGCTCCGACATGTATTAACTATCATCCCACACTGTCCTTGGTGCTTTTTCCCACTCTCTTTCACGCTCGTCTCTAATCTAAGTATCCATAAATGACATTTGTTGAATGATCTTTATGCCTCTAAATAACTAAACCTCATTAAAACATCTCTTGAAGTGCCATATCCTGTAACTATTCGCAAATAGGAACCAAGCATGTTCAGAAACCCCACACTTTCAGCACTGCATGACTCACCAGCACAGAGAAAACCAGCGCCACAATATTGATGGGCCACGCAGGGCAGAAACAGGTGAACATGGTGAGACAGAGGTAGTTCCTCAGAGGGGGGATCTCCTGAGCCTCCCTGTTCTTCAGGACGTCAGTGCTCCCGTCCAGCGAGGGCTTGGTGTTCATGACCGGCTCCCGCGGGGAAGTAAAAGCAGAGAGGCGAGGCGACAGAGCTGAGACGCTGGGAGAGTGGAGGTGGAGGCAAGGGAAGGGAGGCAGTGGAGCAGTGATGATGGAAGAGAGAAATCAGCCAGCAGAGAGACTTGAGAGGGACGCAGAGGCCGGCTGCTGAAAGGTCTGAGCAGACTCAGAAGACTCAGGGCAGCAGACAGACTGAGGAAGAGTTAGCAGGAAGCAGGGTGAAGAAAAGGAGGGCAAGGAATTGAAAGACTGGTTCTCACATAGTACTAGTGCAAATGTATAATAACCAAACAAACCTTTAGTACAAAATTATATGATTTAGAAAAATATGTATGGTAATTTAGTGAAGAATAATGACAGCTAAGTACAAATGCATGGTAATTTAGTATGTTTTAGTAATAAAGTACACATTTATTTTAATTAAGTACAAAATGTATAGTAAATAAAAATCTAAACTGAACAATTAACATATCGTGCAAAAGTTCATTTATTTCAGTAATTCAACTTAAAAGCTGAAACATATTATTTAATATATTATATAGACTCATTACATGCAAAGAGAGATATTTCAAGCCTTTATTTGATAAAGGTTTGATGATTATTGTGTAGAGTTTATGAAAACCCCAAATTCAAAAACTCAGAAAATTTGAATATTGTGAAAAGGTTCAGTATTGTAGGCTCAAAGTGTCAAACTCTAATCAGCTAATTAATCCAAAACACCTGCAAAGGATTCCTGAGCCTTTAATTGGTCTCTCAGTCTGGTTCAGTGGAATTCACAGTCATGGGGAAGTGCTGTGCAGAAAACCATCACTGACACCCTCCACAAGGAGGGAAAGCCTCAAAAGGTAATTGCAAAAGAAGTTGGATGTTCTCAAAGTGCTGTATCAAGGCACATTAATAGAAAAGTGGAAGGAAAAAGTGTGGAAGAAAAAGGTGCACAAGCAGCAGGGATGACCGTAGCCTGGAGAGGATTGTCAGGAAAAGGCCATTCAAATGTGTGGGGGAGCTTCACAAGGAGCGGACTGAGGCTGGAGTTACTGCATCAAGAGCCACCACACACTGACGGGTCCTGGACATGGGCTTCAAATGTCGTATTCCTCTCGTCAAGCCGCTCCTGAACAACAAACAATGACAGAAGCGTCTTACCTGGACTAAAGAAAACAAGAACTGGTCTGTTTCTCAGTGGTCCAAAGTCTCTCTTTTCTAATGAGAGCAAATTTTGCATCTCATTTGGAAACCAAGGTCCCAGAGTCTGGAGGAAGAACGGAGAGGCACACAATCCAAGATGCTTGAAGTCCAGTGTGAAGTTTCCACAGTCTGTGTTGGTTTGGGGAGCCATGTCCACTGTGCTTTATTAAGTCCAGAGTCAGCGCGGCCGTCTACCAGGACATTTTAGAGCACTTTATGCTTCCTTCAGCAGACGAGCTTTATGGAGATGCTGACTTCATTTTCCAGCAGGACTTGGCACCTGCCCACACTGCCAGAAGTACCAAAACCTGGTTCAATGACCATGGGATTACTGTGTTTGATTGGCCAGCAAACTGGCCTGACCTGAACCACGTAGAGAATCTATGGGGCATTGCCAAGAGAAAGATGAAGGACATGAGAGCGAACAATGCAGAAGAGCTGAAGGCCGCTATTGAAGCATCCTGGTCTTCCATAACACCTCAGCAGTGCCACCGGCTGATGTCATCCATGCCACGCCGCATTGAGGCGGTAATTCATGCAAAAGGGGCCCAAACCAAGTACTGAGTACATATGCATGATTATACTTTTCAGAGGGCTGACATTTCTGTACTTAAAATCCTTTTTTTTTTTTTTTTTTTTTTTTTTTTATTGATGTAAAATTCTAATTTTTAAAATTTTGAATTTGGTTTTCATAAGCTGTACGCAATAATCATCAAAATTATATCAAATAAAGGCTTGAAATATCTCGCTTTGCATGTAATGAGTCTATATAATATATTTTCACCTGTTGTAGTTTCACCTGGGTATAAATAAATATAAAAAGCAGGTCTAAATTAGAAGCCTGGTCTGGTTTTTATAGAAAAAACACTCACACTTAAAGTCGCCCAGTTGAGCTACTTATAAACAGCTTAGATCACACATACAAATATAAATGCTAAAACATTTGTCAATATGGACATGCCACACATTGTAAAAGCAGTTAGATTCTCCACAATTCACTCGTTCCTTCAGATTTACCGGTATGGTAAACAAGACAGATGAATAAAGCCAAATGTTTTAGGCAAATAATATTCATACTTGTTATCTTTCCAGTGTAAATATTCATCATGGGGACAGCAGTTGTTCAGTGAGGTACGTTGGTGTGTCATAGAGACAGTGGTAATCAGTAAGTACATTTGCTTAAGTACAAATTAGAGGTATTTATACTTTACTTGAGTATTTTCTTTTCATGCCACTTTCTACTTCTACTCCAATACATCTCAGAGAGAGATATTGTACTTTTTACTTCACTACATTTATCTGACAGCTGTAGTAGCTACTTTGCAAATTTACACACAAAACGTGAAGAGTTTGTAAAATATGATGTTTTGTTATGAATTAAACTACCCAACAATCAGGACATTCGTTGATTGACAGAAAGTCCAGCTTCACAAATGTGAAGATTAATGTATTTGTCACCATTTAGAGGTTTGGACTGACAAAACAAGCATTGTGAAGGTGTCACTTTGGGCTCTGAGCGATTGTGACAACATTTCTCAAATTTCTTCATTTTCATTTAATTGAGAAAAAAAGTCATTTATTACAGTGTGTAACAAAATAGTTCAAACTCAACTACAACAGTAAAATCCTGCTTTTACATTAATGCATAAGTAATAATAATTTAATGATATAATATATAGTAGTATAACATTCTGCATTGAGTACTTTTACTTTTAATACTTTAAGTACATTTTTCTAATTATACTTACATATTTTTACTTAAGTAACATTTCAATGCAGTACTTTTCCTTGTAACAGAGTAGTTTACAATGAGGTATTAGTACTTTTACTTAAGTAAAGGCTCTGAATACTTCCTCCAACACTGCATAGAGATGTAGGAAAGCCTCTCACCTGGTGAGTTCAGACTGAAGACAGCCACACGGCACAATGTGATGCCCAAAATCCTAAATGAGAAATAAAATTTGACAAATTTGCATTTTTGTTAAGCTCTTAATATGTGCATAAATACGTGCAAAATAAAGGACAGGACACATAAATGGAATGTTTTAAAATAATTTATTAGGAATTTTTAAAAAGTGTTTTTTTCTCCATAAGGAATAAACTTGACAGGGAAAAAAAAGAAAATCAGAAAAATGTTACAGTGTTGACAAGATTGTTATTTTTCAGTGAAAAGAGCATCAAAGTATGAACTACCGTGGTAGCCCCCGCAGCAGTGTGAGCGAGTGTATCATCAAAATGTAAAAACCTGGTACTTTGTAGATGAGGGTGCTTTGTTCTTAAGCTAACATTCAAAGGAAAACACATTTATTGTGATCTGCCAGTGCAACATCCTAGTAGCTCTGAACATAAATGTTTTGGTCTAAAAATAGCTGTCACATTGCTACAGTATGTGACCTCCAGTGGATATGCAGTGATGGATTGGTGGTGGTGGGTGCTGGGTGGGAGTGTTGACAGGTAAACAAGAGTTAATAAGACCCCCACTCGCCTCTTCCTGTTACAAACACCACCTTTCAAAAAGGTTTAACCATCCACACTTTTACATAGATGTTAATATAATAACAAAATAAGTCTGATTAAAATTTCACATTTGCAACTGAGGTACAACCCCCCCCCCTTCCAAAAAAAAAACAAAAACAAACAGCACATTGGAAACCAATGTGTATAAAACCATATGTCATGCTCACGCAAAAATCAGCACAACCTGCAGATAGATTCAGTCACAACAGTGTTACCTGTGCATGACTGCGCCTGCACACTAGTCCTTCATTTTCCTTCACAAACAATCATCACATATTGAAAATTACAGTTAAAACAACAATATGACAAAAGTAAGAAAACAGCATGTTTTTTCCTCTCCTGATAGAGGAGCATTTTTTACACCCATTTATCCCCAAAAAGTAAAGTGTTGTTCCAGACTCAGCTTCTCTCCTGCTGAACACAAAGCTGAAAGTGCTTCAACTCTGAGGCAGCTTTTAAACGCAGTAACAGAATCAAATCATCACATCCTTAATAAATGCCTGGAGAAGATTACAGTTTATGGCTGGTGTGACACAGACAGACTGACTGAAACGTACTCAAATGTCCTTGACCTCCACGTGACACTATGATACGTAACAGTCAAGCTTTCCAACACATAAGGATTGATGAAAGAAACAATTGTGCCATTTCTCCAAAAGCCTCCCACCTCCCAGACACAAAAATTAGCGCAGCCCCCGCAGAAACCAGTCATATTTACAATATTTTACAAAATTGTACAGCTCATGTAGGCCTATTCTGTAACTGTGACTAATGACCTTTGTCATCTGACCTTTGTTAGTGTATCAAGTCTTTGTTAAAAACCTACCAAGATATACACTTTGTGACACATTTTCAAGAAATAGTATTAATCACAAATGTTTTTGTTAAAATTCAGTATGAACTAGTGACAAATATACAGTTTTCCAGTACAAAGTACAGCTCCTGACCTTCAAACAAGCTTCACTTGGAGATTTTTTTTCTCCTCTTTTCTCAGAGAGATCAGGTTCTGAGGTCAAATAACCCAATAAAACACAGTCAAAACAGATAAAGAAACAACGCAGCCATCACAAAAAAAAAAAAAAACAGCAAGGTGAAACATAACAACATAAAAAAACAAAACACTAAAAATACAGCATCTTTATGTGTTGCTATTACATGTAGTGATAACCATTTTCACTCCTTTCGTGACGTTTTTTTCTTCTTCTTTTATTTTCTCAGGAGGTGGAGTTTAGTGAGGCGTCAGTAGGGTTGGCTGGGTTCAGGCTGACACCAGGGTGGAGGGGTTCAGCTGCCCCAGCCAGAGAGGTGGACTGGACCGAGACAGGCCAGATCAGCTCCAAAGCAGCTTCAACTCCTTCCAGCTCTCAGTCTACAGCTCTGCACTGACACAAGAAACCACCTGGATTACTCACAGGTTAGTCAGTAATGAAACGTATACGCTAGGTTTAAAACAAGAAGATGACTTACACTCTCAGTGGTAGCCGTTAGTGAAGGCCGTGGCGATCAAAGGGCCCTGTGGGAGTACAAACTTTTAGTAATTTAGTAATTTAGTAACAAATTATGACAATTAAGTACAAATGTATAGTAATTTAGTAAAAAGTTTTAGTAATTTAGTAAAAAAAAAAAAAAAAAGACAATTAAGTACAAATGTATAGTAATTTAGTAAAAAGTTTTAGTAATTTAGTACACATTTATAGTTATGTGGGAGCAAGCATTCAAGCTGACAAACAAAAAAGGTTTCACACTTGGCCATGGTGGAAAATGTATTGATAAATGTTTGCTCTTCTTGTTTTTTTTTACAGCACGAATGTCAAAGCAATACTTTGATATTTTGGGCTCATTAGGCTTCTTGTGGAAAGTTGGATGAGAGGATCGATACCGCTCTCATGTTATTAGCTGTTAAATATAATGCTGCAGCCATCAGCTAGTTAGCTTAGCTTAGCACAAAAATGGGGGGAATCGGCGAGCCTGGCTCTGTCCAAAGGTAACAAATGCTGCCTTCCAGCACTTCCAACAAATAACATCACATCTTGTTTGTTTATCTGTTAAAAGTGTAAAAGTGACAGGTTGTGATTTTCAGTATTTTTTTATTTATTAGATTTTTTAACCGGACAAAGTAACTCCCTGAAGTCTCTGCTCGTGTGCTTGGAGGGCCGATTTAGTCACCTTTGGACAAAGCCAGACTAGCTGCTTCCCTCTGTTGCAAGTATTTATGCTAAGCTAAGCTAACCAGCTGCTGGCTGTAGCTTCATATTTAAAGGAAATATAAGAGTGATATTAATCTTCTCAGCTAACACTCTGCAAGAAAGCGATTTCCCAAAATGTTAAACTATTGCTTTAAATTTCCTCTGCTGCCCCAGAAAGCCCCCCTACCCCACCATATAAAAATGAAAATAAAAAAATCAGTAGAAAGGTCATCTCACCCCCAAACTATGGCTGAATCCAGTGCTTGGGGCGGGGCTGGCAGCGCTGAGGTAACTGCTGACCGCAGACTCTTGACTGGCTGCGCCATACAGGTCTGCCATCGGGCCCGGGCTGCTTGTACCTAAAAATCCAGCTGAGCCCCGGTTGGAGCCTAAAAGTAAAACAAAAGAAACAACAACAATGTAAAGTTTTACCTGCTAAAACATCCACAAGGCTCAAGGGCTTCATAGGTAGATACTTTACAAACAATAAATCTTACGTTTTCTTATATAAAATTCATGAAATTCTTTATATGTGAATGATTATACATATATGCCTTTTTAAATTAGCTATAATAAATATTCCTATAATAACAATGGTTTCAAACGTAGCTTCAAAGGTGTCACAGTGTAGATCCCATCAGCTCTAGGGAGCATTTCAGCATCTTTTAGGTCATTGTTTTGGTTTTACGGGAACTTTACTGTTCTGTTTCAATGTCACTCCTCTCATCAGCATTGTTTCAGTCACGGTAAAAGCTCTAAAAACTGACATTGCCTGCCTAGCATCTAATGGCTGATGGACAAAGTTAGCAGCTAGGTGTGGAAGATAGTGGAGCATTTAAGACCTAAAGAGCCCGATATTTCCCTCAGGCAACATCCACACTACTACGTTTTTGTTTTAAAACATTTTCTGTCCACACCAGCGTTTCAGCTGCGTCTCAGAACCGATCTCTTGGCATGCACATGGTATACAGGAAGCAGAAGATTTGGCTAAAGAAGACAGTGCTACAAGAGCAATGACGAAAACCAACACCAGAGATTTTTTTGCAGGGGCTGACCACGAGGTGGAACTCTTACTGAAAGTAACACGGGAGTACAAAGCGACTATAGCGGCGGAAAACAGACACAAAGTCACAAAGCAAATAGGGTGACATGCACAGTAGTGCTATTTTACACAGTACAAACTATTTTATGCCAAAACAAAAACATAGTTTGGAAGCCAAAGGTGAGTGTCTGCATCACCACGTTTTCGCCTGTGCGCACTAATACGCTGCACTGAAGTTTTAAAACGAAAACGGGGAAGCAGCGTTTTCAAACTTCTCAGGTGGACAGCAGCGTTAACGCATTTTAAAACAAAAACGTAGTTGTGTGGGTGTAGGCTCAGGAGTTGTTGGAGACCAACACTGAAGCTAAAAGGAAAATTAACTCATTTGTTAGTTGGCCAGACACATGACTCAAAATGAATAATAATGTTGTTCTGCATCTGCGGGATGTGGAAATCAGCAACTGTTCGCCTTTATCAACTCAAAAGGCGATAATACAGTTTATCTGTGTTGCTTTTCCAGCTTGATTCCACTGCCCCCAAATGTCAGACAATGTCAAAGTGATTCTGTTTAAAGTGGGATGTACCTCTAACTACTGCTGCTGCTGCCGCTGCCGCTGCCATTGGTCCATATGCTGTGAGAGGAATGGCTAAAGAGTCATAAAAGAAAAGATTCATGTTAAATATGATGGTGTGCAAACAGTTAACCACTAACTAACAACATAACTTAAAAGTCTGACTCCAGTGACCCCATAAACTTTCATCCAAGCCTTGTGAATACAAGGACGTAGAAGTAAAGTACTGTTTATAAGAGCGTTTGATGAGGTCACCGGAGGGAGCCTTTAAAGTGAGCGATTAAAACTTCCTCATTACTGTCAGCAATCCTGCCTTCAGATAGAGACCGAGGAGGACTGACAAACACAAACATGCAGACCAAAGAGTGATCATGTGTTGGTGCTAACGTGGCATGTGGCAGACTGACAACATGCTGCTTGTAAAGTCCAGAGGAGGGACTGACTGACCTGTGAGCTCAGGGGGGTGGGGTGAAGTCAGAAGGGGAGTCCTCTCTAAGTGGAACTCTAAAACAGAAACATCAGAGTGCTGTTGAGACACACACCACGGCCGCCAGCAAGGAGAACACACACACACACACACACACACACACACACACTCGCACACCGGCAGGGATACACCTCAGAGGTGAGGGCTGGAGGTATGGAGAGTACATGAAGGCATTCACAGGGTTTGAGAAATGTAAACAGGAATGGAAGAACGTTTTTTATGGTCCATAAAGTAGCGTTAAAAATCATTACAGAATAGCAAGAAATACAGCAGATGTTACAATTTTTGTCACACAAATTAATAATGTCAATTCAAGCGTGTGTGTTGATTTTAAGAATATGTAAAACATTTAATTTAAAAAATTTACTGACAGATTAACTTCATGCACGCACACACACTTGTTAAAGAGATGCAATTCCACTCCCTGATATTTACAAGCAGCCATTTACACTCAGTGTTTCTCGTGCTTCTATGGAAACATGTTTGTATTTGTGACATGTTTGTATTTTCTACTGTCAGTTCACACCCAGGATTAAGTTTATTTATCTATTCGTAAGAGCATTGGCACCAAAATCCTCCTTTTTTCACTTGAAATGGCTATACTTCATTTAACATGTTTTTATTTGCTGCTCAGGGAATGAAAATATATTTCTCCACGCTGCATCGTGGCTTTATGGATGGTCCTGTCGGTCTGTCCACCACTGAATTATTCCCACAACTATTAGGTGGATTGCCATGAAATTTAGTAAAAACATGCATGTTTCCAACAGGGTGACTCCTACTGACTTTGGTGACTTTACTTTGGTTTACTCTAGCGCCGTCACGAGGTTGAAGGATTTTTTGAAGAAGGTTAGTGCTAATTAGCAAATGTTACCATGCTAACATGAACCTTCAAAACATTACCTACAAAACGTCAGCATGTTAGCATACTGACCTTACAATTAAGCACAGCCACACAAAGCTGCTAGCATAGCTGTGAACTATGTACAGTTCCCCGCACATAACATTACTTCCTATTGAAACAAGGAGCCATGTAAGTTTAATCAAGTTTACAGCGTGCACAAGTGTCATATTAATTTCTTTAAATAATGTTGACTCCCTTCAATCACTAAATGTATGTTTAAATGTGTTTAGGCTATAAAAGACACCAGGATGATTTTTTTATTGCATAAAAAGAGGCAACCTCCTTTTCCAAATGTTCTTTTATGTCTCATCCATCACTGCTTGAACACTTGCACCTGCTAACTAAATATGGCTGTGTATTTTTCTCTCAGTTAATGTGACAGAAACAACTGTATCAGGAACAGAAAGTGTGCTGTGATTACCAGGGAACTGGTAGGTATATCCAGGAGTGATGCCAGCATAGCTCCGACTAGTGTAGGTTGCTGTCTGGAAGCCTGGATAACCTGTGGAAGCAAAATCACTGTTAACATCTGGATCACTGAAAACACCACAAAAAACATTTGCACATATGCAGAGTTAGGAGACAAACAAGATTCGCTGAGGTGTTCAAAAAGGAAATACTTGACACAAACGAGAGTAACAGGTGTGTGGCTGTGCTGCCCCCTAACAGTGACGCGTGGTACAGTCGGTGACATGCAGGTGGGTGATATTCTACACCTGTGGTCTGGATTTCTTCACAAGAACAGAGCTGCCGCAGCTGCACTGTCTTTGTCTCCTGTTTCACTCTCAGCAGTGCACACTACACAGGGATTTTCTTTTCTTTGTATAACACCTGGAGTACTGACCTCTGAGCATATTACGAGTACCACAAATAATTTAAACAAGTACGATTGCCCATCCCCTAATATACGCTGTCTAAATCAAAGCTCTTAAATACTAAAGTGTTGTTCTCAGACTGAACGGTAGGTGGTAGCATCGGCGTGGCAAGTTTAGCTTCACATGCACAATCAGGTCCTGACTACTGTGAGTACAATATAAGTGTTGACCACACAGAGGATTATGTTCGAGGCGATGACAAGAGCCAGAAATGTTAAAGGGCCTTCACACTTTACTCGTCATGGGAAATACCGACTCTAACATGTGGCGCGAGATTTCCAAAGTTAAAAAGTTTGAACAGAAAGCCCTCGTTACTAGAGGTATGGTGTTTCTGGGGTTTGCATTATGGGTAATGTAGGAACCAGAGTTTTTGGAGCTTGACCCAAACTGTGCGGACCAAGAGTCAGGATCATTTCGGCTTCTGATGTGTCTCTTTTAACCGTTCTGTTTTTTAATCTCGCACCTGTGAGTCCCAAAACTATCTGGAAGTGCAACACTAAACAGGTGGAGAGTGAATCAAGCAGTATCTATTAACTAAAACGTATCCGGCTAATTAGTAGTGCAGATATTGACAATTTAAAAAAAAAAAAAAAAAAAAAACACTCCCTCAGACAGTAGATTTTTTTGATTACATCTAAAGTCTAAGGTCTAGATAATTAAGGTGGAGAGCTGAGAGCTGAGTCAAGCAGCCCAGTTAAGTGGTCAGCTTTCTCCCCATGAGGCCATATGTGACCTTTAAGGCAGCTGCGGCCTTAGTGCAGGAATAGTTATTGTCAGGTTCATGTGCGCAGCCACATCCTTCCTGCCCTAATCAATACTGCCTTACCCAGCATACCAATGCCCAGCATGAAGGCGTCCATTCCATAGGGCATCACACGAGAGCGCCCCCTGGCTGAGCCCGTGGGGGACATCACCTCCTTGGGCTGAGCTTTCTTGCACTCCACCTGTTTCCAGGCAAAAAATAAAATCAGCGCTTCTAGTCTCTCAATAAGGTGGCGGTGTTGGGAGCGTCTCAGAGCGCACATCAAGCTGCTCACCATTTTGTTGTTGATCTCATGGAAGTGGATCTCACAGACTTTCTCCACCACATCCTCGTTCTCGAACGTCACAAAGCCAAACCCTGGTGAGGACAGGGCAAGTTCATGAGTAGGAACATTTGACACAGTATGGTGGATTCAGACAGTAGGCCTTTCTGTGCAGCTAATAGTCTCCAGTAATCAGTGCTGTAATAGCCGCTTAACACTTTTGCCCCCCCCATCCCTCCCCCCCACCTTTCAATGCCGCTATTCTGCACTCATCCTTTTTTCCCTCCCTTCCTGGCCAGAAGGCCCAGAGCGAAGCTGGTAGGCTGTCATAATCGATCAGTCCCAGGGAGGGGAGGAGGTGCTTGAGGAGGCTTTATCCTGATCCAGATTAACGGACTGGCTAATTAGACTAGCCCTGTTCGTCTCCTCCAGCTCAGCCCACAGGAAGGAGGCCTGTGGGGGGGCGGTGGAGGGGGATCAATAGATACCCTGGAAGGACTGGAGGAAGAGCAGCATATTGACGAGGAGAAGGAGAGGTGTAGGGAATGAATGGACATAGAGCGGGGTCAGTCCAGACTCACCTCTGTGCCGGTTGGTGGTCTTGTCGAACATGAGCATGGCATCGTCGACCTGGGGGGGAGACAAACAACACAGTTTTTTAGGCGGCGCTCTGTATCTCTCTTGCCACGCGGCATATTGCCTGACCTCAGCCCTTCTCAAGTTCTGCAAGAAGGCTCGGCAACAGATGGACAGAAAGGAGGGGTAGGAGGGAGGGGACTGGAGACGAGCGACAGGTTACAAAGAGGAGGCGGAGGGGGCAGCGAGAGGAAAATACGAAGAAATACTGTACAGCAAGCCCTGGTGCTGTAGGGCTAACAGACATAATGGGTGGCATGGAAGTTGTGTTTGCTGCTAAACTGCCCTGGTCACAATCCTTCTCACAGACAGCCCATAATCCGCCGCCTTTTTCCCCTCCAAAGTTTGACATTCCCATGGCAACTGTACAAAAAGTCCATATAAAAGAGCTCGAGCCAACATCAAATATGCTTTATGAATAGTGGGAGAGTGCCAGTGAGACAAAGAGGGCAGCAAAGAGAGAAACACTGACACACACACACACACACACACACACACACACACACAAAGAAAAAAGCAGCCAGTCACAAGCCGAAAGGTGAATCCTGTGGGCAGGTGGAGACTCGATGAGAGGGGAGAGCTGATAGCGGGAGGAATAGCGACAGGTGGAGATATGTCGAAAGAGAGCACAGAGAGTTCTGTAAGAGAGAGAAAGAAAAAAAAAAGATTGGGTCAAAGTGGAAAGGGAGGAGAAAGAAGAGACAAAGAGAGAGGGAGAGGGAGAACAAAGAGGCCTGGAGGCTTTGTTTGTTGGCACAGTCAGCCATAATTCCTCCTCCTCTTCTCCTTTTGACCTCTCCCTCCGGCCCGGCCTCCCTTTTATAGCGCAAAGACACAGGTGCCTATTCTACACACACACACAGTTTCTTATGTCAAAGTTGTGCTGTTTTTTTTCTCCTCCTCTCTCTTGTCACAAGCTGACATGTTTATACTCCAGTCTGCACACGGAGGCCCAAATAAACATTTGGTAAATTAATCTGTGCTCTTGGTCTATAATAAGTTTACTGGATATGGTCCACTGAACAATTTGTCATAGTCACATACTCACACATACTCAGTGTGAGTGTTGTGTGCATGTGTGGACCCCCAAGGGCAGTTTGCCTACAGAAAGGTCAAAGGTGAGTGAGGAGTGTCAGTGTGAAAGGGGACCTGTTACTCTGATGCCTCTCAAGTCACTGCTTCCTTCCAGCCTGACATTTGCTGGACGCCTGCAACATGTCCAGCTCTCTGTCACTGCGAAAACACTCTTCATTTTCGCCATTTAGCTGACACTTTTATCCAAGAGGCCTGACAGTAGAGACTCCTCAGATTGAGAGCATGGGGTCAGGAAGACAGCAACACCCACAGCGCACTTTGTGATTCATGCTAGAGATCTAAATTCAAGCTAAAATCCTTTACTTAACAAGGCAAACACACAGGAGCCTACACAATCCCAACGTGAACTGAAACGACTCACCATCGCCCTGGAGGACGCGATCAAAACATCACATCAACGCTGGTGTTTCCCACTGAGTTAATTGCACATCATTGCTTGATATTTCAAACACTTGGCATTTTAATGGCGTACCGCCGGACAATATTCCCTCTTATCCTTTTTTCCCCACCTCTCATCTTCCCTGTTATCCCCTGCCCATCCCTCTCTGCGCTCCTTTGTCCTCACCAGGATGGGACACAAAAGGTCCAGTGAGGCAGTCTAATCAGGAACTTCCATGGATGGCTGGAGCCTACATTTCACCGTCCATCCCTCGATATCTCTCTCGGCAAAATTCATCTAGATATTATGATTGAGGAGGGAGCACAGGGAAACTCGAGGCCAAAGCTTCGCCGCTGAATATGAAGTGCCACGCAGTTGGAAACGCGGCGGCTAAAACAGATGCTCCACACGTTAAGACTTTTAAAAGTTTCAAGGGCTTGAGGTGGAGACTGTCCACCTGCAGTTTTCTGAATAAGTTTTTTTGTTCTGTTTTGTTGTTGTTGTTGTTTTTTTTGCACAAGATCAACCAAAAACTCACACAGCACTTCAATCACACATGACGGTCAGTTTCACATCAGAAGACACATTTAGGAGTGCGAACAACCCAGAAACTTCCAGTATGCAGATAACTTCTGAGCAAAATATTTGTCTAGCTTTGTACAGAGGCATAATGCCCCCCACCACACACACACACACACACACAAACACACACACACATACCCCCCATCTTTGCCCCAGTTCCCTCTCTTACGCCTACACAAACCTCTCTCAATCAGGCCCTCGTCCTCTCTCCCTTGTTGGGGCCTTTGTTAGCCCGTCATCTGTTCTCTGCCTCGTGTCTTTCAGAATACAAAAACTTGGACAAAACTTTATACGGAAAACAAACGCATTAAGAAAATGAAGGCTGAAGTTTGCAGTTTTTTTTTTTTTAACATTGTATTTATTGTTACCAAACTCCTTAGTTGACCCCAATCCAACACTCATGCTAACCACCCCCCTCCACCTCCACCCCCCACCCACCTCCACCCTAGCCGAACACACCACCTCATCCCTCCTCCTTCAGAACAAAACCCCCTTACCCACAGAATTACTTGGGGGACAATGGGCAAGCCAGGTCACCACGGTAACGGGCCAGGAGGGGGTTGTGGGTAGGAGCAGCTGTTACATCAGATTAATTCAGATTCTGATAATCCCTCCTCCTTCCTCTCCATCACCACACACTCACTACAAAACTTTTCTCCCCCCCTCCCTCCTCTCTCTCTCTCTCTCTCTCTCTCTCTCCTCGCTCCCTCTTCTAGTCCCCCGAACTTCGCCTGCTGCTGCCGGAGCCTCTCAGCCTCGTTATTTTTCCCTTCCTACCCTCTCCAAGCGTTTTCTCGCCCTCCTCCTCGCGGTAACCCCTTCACTTCCAGGCGGTCGCTCGAATCCAAGTGAAGTTTTTCTCAGAGAATTTGCGGTGAATCAGACTCGGCTGAGCTGGTGGGATGTGGTACTACGTGTTTCTAAGCTGTTGATTTCTTTCTGCACTCATGCAGACAAGACAAACGTATGTGAGTCCGTTATAAACGGACACAGAAATCCATTATTTCGATTCTGATCATTATTGCTGCTATTCCCTCTAACAAATTCACCACATGTGTCCAGACATCTTCAACAACACTCTCTTAAACATCACTCACCTTCCCAAACTGGTCAAAGTACTGTTTCACGTCCTCGATGGTTGTGTTCACTGAAAGGCCTCCAACAAAGATCTTCTTGGTTCGAGTCACTAACTGCAAGAGGAGGAAAAGCACTGATGAACAAATGTTTCATCTGTTATCGTCCTGAGCATTTTAAATTAAATGATATATCTTTTAAAATAGCAGTTCACCAACAGGCACGACTTGTATTTTTGACCTAAAATGTACTGTAAAGGTTACAATAATTACATACGATTGTAGGTCATACTACTACTTTAATACTCCGGGAAAAAACTACTCTATTATTAGTCTGAAGTGTAGCCAAATGATCACTCAGTAACACACCAGTGCTAATTTGTACTGCTGCGGTAATTGTTACTACACAAAAATCAGAAAAAGAAATTGTTCTCAGAAATACAATTATAAAAACAAAATTACAATCATTATACTCACTATGCTCCTGTTAAAAGCTAATTTAGAGGAGTAATGGCAGAAAAATTCCCTTTCTTAGGTAGAACCTAAACTTGGACAATAAAAACGTTTTGTGTTTGTAATTTTCAGATAATCAACCCAAATGAAATTGTAATTATGCTGAATTTTGAACGTTAGTGTATATGAAAGCATCAGTTCAAGAAGTGTAAGGAATGACAAAGTCCCAGAAAAGGTATCTGAAGAAATAACAGCTCTCAAATAACAGTACATATATTTTTAGCTACGTAAATCAGAGAAATTTATTGTTTTGAGCAATAAAATGTGTCAAAGTGTTTTTACAGCACAGGTACTATTCATTATCTGTAAACTGCAGCGTTAAGCACTTTCACTATGCTGACTTACAGCGCACACATTATTTGGATAAAAAGCACAATTTCCCATGTTGGACACAAACAAAAAAGCCTATTCTGGGTGCAGCAAACACTTGGCACCTGTAATTACTTTTGCATCCCTTCCACTTTCTTTCATAGCAACTTTTTGACAAGACAGAAACATTTGCCACACAAAGGGGAATCCAAGCAGCATGTAACAGCACAGTTTTCATTCAGAGTTAAATTTACTGAGGAATCAGATACGAAGAAACAAGTTGTCAGCTAGATTTACACCCATTAACACTGGACGTGTGTCTGAGATCCATCACAATATTAACTGACACTATGCAATATACAGTATAATGCAGTTGCTTGTCAGTAAGCATACAAGGAAAACCTGTTTTGTGCTAGCAGGATACAAACTGTGACATTAAAACATTATTGCAAATTTAAATATTTTTCTTTCAAGAATTTATTACCATTTATTAATATCTTTGTTTTCTTTGTTTTGAATCCAGCTATGATTCATTCTTTCATTTCCACAGAGCACTGCATTATTGGACGTCCATGAACATTACATTCAAAAATGAAGCAATTTCAGTGATTCATGTCGGTCTTTTATGAACTATTCATTTGGCCATTTTATTCTTGTGAACACTTCACACATTGCACTAACCTGTGACACAGTCGGTTTTATTTATTTATTTTTGCATATCTGTTGTGTTAAAAGCAAACGCTGTAAGGCTACAGACAAATCTCCAAACTCACTACCAGTATTCCTTCCTGCCTCATTAGGCTGTCCTGCCTATTTCACACCGTGCTGTTGTTAACAGAACAGGCAAACTGGCTAAGATCACCGTACCTGATCTACAACACAGGCGTTTAACAGTAATGAGTGTCTCTGAAGTTTGTGAACGTTTTGTTAACACACGATCACATAACATAGTTCAGTGATGTCAGCGCTGCTTGTGGTCAGCAGATTACGAGGAATTAGCCCCGATAAGAGACTGAAACGTTCACCACACACTAAACGGCTGCAAACAATGCGCGCACGACTCACACGAGAAGGCGCTTTGACTCACCTTGGGCTGAGCTCTGCGAGGGAATGCAACCTTTGGATCGATCTACAGGAGAGAATACAGAAAAGAAAGAGAGGCCTGGTTAGTGTTGTGTCATGACACAGGTGAACCAGCAACCTGTCGCTATTATAACCTGCTTCAGACAGTAGACCAAGTTCTGACTATGTCCTGGTCTGAAGGCACCGCTGCTGTTCATATACGTGTGTCTGAATGTCAGTGTCTGTGCTTTGAGATGACATGAAGGAGAATACATTTGACGTCCAGTAGGTGATAATGCATTTTAATTATTTATCAATGGAAGACATTACAAAATGTTTCACTACTGGTATCTAGATGCAGATATTTTTTGTTTTACTCAGGTTCTGAGAGATCAACATTTACAAATTATATTTTAAAAAATCTCTCGAGAAGCAATGGATTATTTTGGATTATCTGAACAGCACGCTGTCAGCGGTTTTTATAGGAACATTAAAGTAGCTGACATGAAAATGATGTGATTTATCCAAAGTAACTGTAACATTGTTTCTGGAAAGGCAACGCTTCTGTTTTATTAAATGTCAGTTTTTAAATGTTGTGAGCACCACAAATGACATTTTATTGATTGAAGGCAAAAATCAAAAAGACAGATGCTCATAACTTGCTCATAGGAAAACTAAAAACTTCCTGCGTGGCTAGTTTTCTCCAGCTGTTCTTTCCATCGTTTGGGTGAAACAACTCTATAAAACAGAAACTTTACATCCTTTTGTGATGTTTGCTCTGAAATATTACTACACATACTTGTATTAGGGTTAGGGTCACAACCTTGTGTGTAAAAAAACACGCACAAGTGTGTGTGTGTGTGTGTGCAGCTGTGCTCAGGTGGAATGCCTGGGAATGTCCAGCGAACCAATGCCTCTCTCGTCACCACCATGTGACATGTGATCTCCTGGAATCTCACACGGGCACTACAATCACAAACACACCTCACCTCGGCGAGGAGAGCCCGAGCGGGGAGGACAAGTGTGTCGGAAAGAGCGCGAGAGGACCAAGGAGTGGGGAGGAAGACGGGACGGGAGGAGAGGGGGGCTGTCAATCAAACCACAACGGCAGCTGATCCACCCCTGATTTTTGTTTGTTTGTGTTTGTTTGCGTTTGCCACCCCTCAGCTTGTGACGGGAGTGACGACAACAACACGGGACCGATCATCATCCCGTACGCTTTCAGGTAGATCCGGATCGTCCTCTACCCTGCAGTTCCTGACGTTTACACCCGGGGAAAAAGGACCAGCGTAACTTCTTATATTAGTCTTAACTCTACAACTACAAACAAACAAAATACTATAGAAGTTTACACATAATGGGGGGCGAGCCCACTGAACGTCACCAAGGTTAAGATTGGAGAGAGAACCACCACACCATGCCACGAGGATGCAATCATAGACAGGCTGTAAAATTGGAATTTGAGACCGCTATATTAGTCTATGCTGGTCTAACAGAGCTACAGAACAACTAGACTACTCCACACTGTACTGCAGTTAAACTAACAGATGGTGAGACAGTACAGCGCTAAGATTAGTCCGTAACCATGAGAGGGTAGAGCTGAACTACAGTAGAGAGCTAGAGCCTCTATGGTAAACCACATGCGTTTACCAGAGTAAGGGTAACAGTATTGTTTCTACTTGAATAAGAGTTGAGATCACCGAAAGTTTGTATTGTTTATTTTTTTTGTCTTTTGTCTTTTGTTCTAGAGAGCAGAGTGAGAAGACTATAGGCTAAGACTGGAGGATCAGATGCAGAGTCTACTGTTTAGTTTCTATGGTGGCTAGACTACTCTGATAGTCACCTCCGGTCACCAACCCTCCTGATGTCCAACACTCCTGTGCACGTTCAAAAAAAACAAACAAACACACACACACACACACACACACACACACACACACACACAAACAAACAAAATCAAACACATGGTAGCACGCAGCACATCCGTTGGGGAGGAAATTGTGGACATTAAACAGATAAAGTGGCTGTATAAATGAAATCGCTTTGTTTCGTTGGGCGAACAAAATGTGGATTATAGTCAAGAGATGCTTTTAAAGTGCCTCTCCGCTCAAAAATACGTTTTTCTTATTGTTATTTATTGACACTAAAAAGCTGTTTTCACATTTCATCTGCCGGAAGTTTCCCTGCACTTACCTAAAATCTGACTTTAAGACGTTTATGTACGAGCATGATTTACTGACACAACTAGTCTGGCAGCAGAAACTTGAAACCTCGGGCCCACATACACTGAGACGTTTTAATAAAAGTAGGAGACATCTTGTGCCCAGCAGTTACACCTTTGATACTTGCACATTCACAGATTCTGGATTTTGTCAAAAAGAGAGAAGAAGCTGCTCTACATGTGTGAAGTTAAATGAGTACATTAACTTTGTTTTGTGGAATAAACATACCAGAAACAAATTATTATTCCATTCAGAGTCATAAAACGTGTCTGGAGGGAATCTGGAGGTTAAAAAAACACCCATATAAAGACATGTGAACCTCTCCGCGCTCACAGCAAGGTAACAGGGAAGAAGCTGAACTTAATACCAAGAGAGCTTTATGAAATCAGGGCAATCCCCTTTGACCAACTACATCCCAGCTATGCAACAGTTGGCCGAGCGCACTGCCTGTCACAGCCTGAGCTGGAAACACACTTAACGCAACATGACGATTGGGCAGCACTCAAAATCTCCGAGGAACAACTCAAGCTTGTTGACTCCAATCCTATTAGTTAGGAGAGCCATACTAATCACAGATGGGGTTATCCTGCCCCCACTCCTCTTTCTTTCCACTCAGGTCAGCATGGAAATGGTTAACGAGGAGGGGGTGGGGGTGGGTGGGGGGGGTAAATATGCCTGATGCAACTCTGCAAAGAGCTGTGTGACTTTGTTGTAAAACTCTCTGCTGTGCACCTCGAAAGCTGCGATTGAATGGAAACTTTGTCCCACAAAGGTGCAGTTTGCATTGGCGGTCACTAACTTTACAGATAGCAGGAAGCTGGGAGGGCATCCAGAGGGGCAACTAACAGAGCAGCAGCTACATAAATCACAGTAAAACCTGCCCTCCTATACCGGTCCAAACCGGGCCGCATCTGTCCTTCAACACAATAAGTACCAATAAATTCCTCTGCAGCACTGTATTTGCTCTTTAGCCTCTCGGGCTGTGCGAAACTCTGTTAATTCCAGTGCCGGAGCGGTTCAGTCGGTCACAGCATGGCACATTCTTTCTGTTGCCACTGGAGAACTTTTCTCTCCCCTCTCTAACAGGATAACCTGTTAGCATGAGGGAGAGGGAGAGGGGGGGGGCGCAGGGGGAGTAGTCTAAAAGGACTACTCTACTCACCATCCAAACCCCTGTGGCTGATCACTGAGCCCTCCACGCCAAACACACACTCTCTCTCAGGCCGCCCCCACCAAACGCCGCCGACACACCCAACTGCCAGCCACAAGGGGCCCTGCCACACGGCCCACGAGGCTTTGCGCGGCGTTCGCACATGCACAAGTGAAGCGGACAAGCTCAAATTAAAAAGAGGGTGGAGTCTTCCGTGAATAAACTTCGTTGCTTGTCAGAAGAGGCGATGTGAGAGTAAACAGTCAGTATCGTGTAATCATGTCTTGACTTCTGGTCTCCTAGAAATGATTGTAAATGATGTGCATTGTTATCTTCCCTTTTTTGTCTTTTGTGACAGAGTCATTCTTCAACTGTGTGTGGGGGGGGGAGTCACTATGGAAACAAACCCCATGGCGAGTTAGTGGCGTCCAACCATGGTGGCGCTACTTGTCATAGCTGTCGTGCCTGCAAGTGACACTATAGCAGTAGGGCACTGGGGAAACCACAGAAAAAACTAATTCAGCTTGACTCCTCTTCTATCGAACAACTTCCACCATTGCTGATTTTAAAAATGCCGATTTCCTTGCAACTTTCAGCGGCAAACAACCTTCTCCAGCTATTTCACTTCTCCTCCATAGATTGGAGAAGGCGCATCGCTCAGAGCACAAAAGGGGGAAAGAAGAAATCGCCTAACCCTCATTTCAATACAGTGACTAACCCGCAGCCATCACCACTCCCACAGAGGAGAGAGGCGGGGGCAGTGGTCCCTATGGTGACCAACGGGCCACATTGTTCCCAGACTGGCCCACATTCATTACTGACAAAAAGACACACACAATCACACACACTGCAACACGGGCGATTAATACATTTTAAGTTACAATCCACACAGGTGAAAGGGGCCTGACGCCGACTTCATCATCGCTACGTTCTCAGTTCTTCCTGAGATCAACAGGAAGCTGTGGGGAGTTTGTTCGATGCTGCTTTCACACCTTGATGGTTTCAGGTTGCATTTTGTGGTTCTATTGAAAGGCGTTTTTTTTGGGAGAAGGTGGGGGGGGATAATTCTACCCCCTTGAGACAGAAAACAAAAAAGCAGAAAGAAACTTTTGGTTCACTGTTTCAACAGACCAAATCAAAGATAGGCAGTGGGAGCAACCCTGTCCGGTTCCCCTTGTTTCTATGGAAATTGACACTGGGGAAGATTTTCTTAAGAGCGAAGAGAGAGCACATCCTCCCCCTGTGTCTCCACTTTCGACTACTGGCTGAATCGTGCACACATCTGAGGTGTGGCAGCGGACACGGACATGGTTTTGAGAAAATCATCAGCATAGTGGAACCTTAGTAAACATACTAAAATGCAGCAATGTTACGCCTCTCTAGCGGATTATCAGAAAATCCACTAATCAAACACTGAGCAATGGGATTAGCCGGTGGTGGGAAGTAAATACAGAGAACTCACTGTTTTGGAGTCCAACTCATGCCTGGTTTGGGCCAAAACTTTATCCACGCCGGCCTGATCAACAAAGGTGACGAATCCAAACCCTCTGTAGACATCAGGGATGGGGGGGGGGAGAGAGAGAGGTATTAATGACACAGAAACTGATGTTGACATGTAATGATACGTTATGAGCAGTGAGGAATCAAGGAGGTCAGATAAACTTTCAGCTCCGGCGGAGAAGCCGGGCTCGCAGCTCCCTCACCTCGAGCGCTTAGTAACCGGATCTCGCATCACCATACACTCCTTCACCTCGCCGTACTTGCAGAAGTACTCCTTCAAACCCTCTGATAAAACGAAACAAGGCAGAGAAGAAGACACATTCATTGATGATTTAGGAGATTAACAAGAAATGACAACTTTCTTAACAGAAAATTAGCAAGGAGTTTGGCTACAGAGTCCAACTGAGATTTCCCTCACCAAAGTTCATACATTTTTCAATTAAATGTGTCAAACATGAAATTACATGTGATGAATGTACAAATTACACAATAACTCAAACTGAAATTCCCTTAGCTTTTTTTTTTTTTTTTTTAAACAAACTGAATCGTTAATTTTTTTTCTTTTTAATGAGCTTAAAAGAATCCCTTATTCATTCCATGGTGGTTCTGAATGGGCGCATTCATTCTGGAGAAGGATTCATGTTCAAAAAAACAAAAACAAATAAACAAATTCAATGTAAGCAAACAGAAATATTAAGAAATACAGCTTTCCAAATAAGTTTCTCTTAGTGCAATCTGATCCATGCCAGGATTTTTAAACACATAGTGGCATTTTATGAGAACTGGTGGTGATTAACAAAAAAAAAAGAAAGATGTACCTTGTGTTGTTTGCCAGCTGAGTCCACCTATGAACATTTTGCTGTGAGGGGAAAAAAAGATAAAACATAATAAAGGAGTTTAACATTTACGGGCTTACACTGTAGTGGAAACTTGTTATTGAGGTTTTGAAAGTGTAAGCCTGCAGGTAAAGGCAGACTTTGAGAGTACCATCTCTGATTTTATATGAAGGCTCTCTGTGTGGAGGTGAGCGGGTCTGCCTGCGGACCAGAGTCCTCTCACAGAATAGCAGGTTTGTTTCTGAGGTAGGAAAGAGAGTTTTTTTTCCCTAAATACAAAAAAAAAAGTTTTTCCGTTACCAGGGGTCGTGTGGGGAGTCCGTGGTGGACAGGCTGCTCTGGCTCCCTTCCGTCTCCATTCCGTGTCCTCGCTGTGCGTTATGAGTGAGAGAGTGCTGCTGCGTGTATCCGAGCCGAGCCGTGCGGGAGAACAGGCGGAGAATGAGTGAGAGGAGCTGGGCGGGTTTGGCCCGGGGTGGCAGAGAGGGGAGCTGGGCCAGATGCAGCCTGGGACAGACTCCTCCTCCAGTCAGCCGCCCCCCCCCCCCCCCCCCCCCCCACGCTGCTGCCTCTCTCTCATCCCACCACCGGTGCCGGCGTCAAGGCTGCAGATATCAAACGCATCGCTTCCGCTGAAGCCTTTCAAAAATAAAAACCCGGTGGAGAGTTTAATGGAGACGAAACATAATCACAGTTTTAATACCACGCAGTTTTTACACAAACAAGGAATTTGCTTTGGTGACTAGATGCGCAACAACAGACATAAACCTCTATAAATAATCAGCAGTTATAGATAATGAATGGACGAATGGATGGTTTAAATAAAAAAGAAATACCAAGTTATAATTTAATAGTAAAGACCACATAGGCCTTCATAGTTAGGGATGGGTAGTAATTGTAAAGTCTTTCTACAGAAATGTCAAAAAAGATATTGTGATGATATTTATGAAAAGTGAAAGGCATTACTGGATCAACTGAACTGCATGCGTCTAAATGCCGAAAGTGAGTGCACATTTAAAATTTTAGTATTCTTTATTGCTAACATATTTATAAGCAATCTGAAAGTAACTAGCATAATGCATTACAGCCACTTAAATTTCACAGTATAGCTTGCTGTTCTTAGTAGTATCTAGTGTCACTTGTAGACTTTATTGATGCTTTATGGATGCTTGTATGTTGTTCCTCAAATGTAAGTCTCTATGGATTAAAGCGTCTGCCAAATGAGTAAACTAACTGTTATGAAACAATATGAGGTATCCAACAGTCAATCAGTGAATGAAGACCTTTTTCCATATAAAGAGACATTTTTCTACTCTTCATTGCTGATTAATAAACCTATAAATACAGTATTTCAGAATCCGATTTCACATAAATTAACAAGCAAAGTCACAGAGTTGTCCCATTCTGATATTAATGTATTCAAAACACAATATATTACAAGTTTATTATTTATAAAATATATTTTATAAATAGTTTATATCAACAAAATATTCCTATGATGCTATGTAATTAAAAAATAGCTTTTTATAATGATAAAGAGTAAAAACATATTTTACAAAGAGCTTTACTGACTGAATTGAAAGGAAACACTTGCAAAACAGTCCTACAGATGTCAAAATACAATCTGAACCATAAGTAATTTAAAACTGAGTCTGAGATTTCAATGTACTTTTTTAAGATTTCATTAAGCCTTTATTGTGAAGGCAGAATCTCCTTACTTCCTCTCACGTTCTGATTAATTGTGACTAATTTGACACAATTTCCATTCTCGTTCAGATAAGAAGGGTCAACATGGACAGTTTACAGGGACAACAACTAATCTGTAATTGTCTCTTTACCTGTTTTGTGAGGTCTTTAAAAATGGCAAACATTAAAAAAGATTGCAATAAAAGTCCTGCAAACATCTCTGACACACGTGTTTCTTTCATGAAAGTAATATCATGTGCTATTAATTCAATCTAAAAAAAAATCATGGTTACTACAGACACGAGTTTTATAACAGGCAATTTTGTCAATTACTCTATAAATCTTACATTGTCCTTACAGTGCAGTGTTCATGGAAAATTTCGCCAAGTTTCTAGTAGCCTGTTTAAATATTATTAAGCCAAAATGAAGCAAATGTTTCTCTAATATGAAGTCAAACTACTCCTTTAATACACCCACAGGCTCTAAAAGTGTCTGAGGCGCCTGAATAACAAATGGTTTGTTATACAATTACTCTGTGGTATTTTCCATTCCTCTTGTATCACTGATCTATTAACTAATATCTTAACTGTAATCAAGTTAATTTGTATCAGTGCTGGATATCACCAGCAACATGTTCGTCTGTGTTAAGACACCTTGCATTCTGCAAACCAGCTTATGCAATGTGGTATAACAGGAGGTTTGTGCGCTGTGTGCTCATTCATTGCTGGGGTTTAAGTATTTAATTAGTTCCAAAGCCAGCAGCTCCCGCTAATCTTCCCAACACTGACTCAACATGTGACCTGGTAACCAATGTTAAGGCCAATCAATGGCCTGGGCCACTCAAAGACAATGCCAGCTTTGACTTACGGTGGGTGTAAAATGGAGGCTCCGAGTTTGGTGCAAATGTTTGGACTGTGACGTCTGGATATTAGGATACTGACATTACAACGCACTCAAAGTGCTGGTTTTGTCTCCAAAATACACACACACACGCACCTGTAACACGATCAATCAGAGCAACACTACAAGCTCGGAGCGTGTAACGCAGGATGTTTGGGCACAGATTTAGACTTGTGATTGTCCTCTCCAACACACTTTATCCTCGCTGAGTGCTGCAGCCAGTGTCCTGCCCCTCACACAGGCATACTCTAACCTCTACAGGCGGGCAGATGAAGCTCTGGAAGTGGCAGAGGGGCTATTTGGACAGGAATTAAGGGGTGTGTTAAATTTCTGCATGCATGATCAATGGGGTTGAATGGCAGGGTTGGGGACGGGGTGGAGAGGGGGACCACTAGGCTGAGGCAGAGACAGAGCGAGCGGTGAGAACACAGATAGAGAAAGCCAGCAATGGCTCACTAATGAGAGATGGACAGTGTGGATTGTATCTCATTACCAATCAACATAGCTTTGAGTTCTCTGGAGAGGGAAAATGCGAGCTCTAATGTGTACTGCATGTGGTCCATTTTGATAAACCCAGCTTGTGTGGTGGAGCATTAGTCACAGCGCTATCTGAGCTGTTGGAAATCCACACACATTGCCCTCTGTCCATTTTGGTGAGGAGTTTTCTCTGAATAGTACAATGGGACTTAATTACAGGTCAGTGGCATGTCTCACTGAGATAGAGGGAGCTCTGTTACCCTTCCAAATACAGTATAATGCCATCTTCCCAAGGGTGGGGTGGGGTAACAAGAGCGCTACACAAAAAGGTGCTGATAGGCTGAACCTGAGAATGGTATAAGGTGATCCCAGGCAAAGAAAGTGAGCGTTTTACACTGAAAGAGAGAGAGAAAAGATAAAGGACTGCATTAACTCTCAAAGGTTTCCCCTCCATTCAGTTTGCCCTCTTTCCTTTCCAGTCCACTTCCAACTTCTCATTTCTGCCAACTTCCTGCCAAGACAAAAAAAATCTTGAATTTGGACATCAATAAACTTAACATAACATAAAGAGTCTGTGTAAACAATTCTGAACACCAACACCGCCTGTTGAAACATGCTCACAGTTAGCGGGTCTTTAAGAACATTAATTGGATTGAAAGTAAAAGGAAAGATGCGTCTTTGGGGGGATGAGTGGTAAAATAAACATGAGAGTGAGATAAACATAGTTAAAATATCAACAGGTGAGTTTATTTATGTAACACTTTTAAAAAAAAACAAAGATTACAAAGTGCTTAACAAGGACAATAAAAAGTAAAACTACATATACAAAGTGAGAATAGAAATTTAGATCAATCTTTATGTACAAACACACATCTTACCAGTAAAGGAAAGTAACTTAGTTGTACTTAATTACTTAATATTACAGGTACTTGTATTTACAATAACTTCAGTATGTTATGCTACTTTACACTTAATAATAAACACTGTTCTTTTTACTCAACATTTACTTGACAGCTAGTCACCCTTCGGATTTAAATTTTACATATATGGTGAAACTTTATTTGCTTAAGTCACTGCTTTTATTTGGGACAGGCCTTTAATTCTTTTCGCAAAAAACTCAGTAAAGATGGGAAATATGCTACTATTAAACTGTCTATTTCAACCAGTATGAATATTACTTGTATAAACAATTAGGCTTTTTTCATAGCTCGTGTTTACCATACTGGTAAATCTGAATTGTCTCCATAAAATTACAAAAGTTTTAACATTTATACTTGAATGTGTGATCTAAGCAGCTTAGAACAAGCTCAATCGGGCCACCTGGTGGGCTTTAAGAGGTATTATAAATCCAGAGAACTTCTTTATTAAAAACCAGATCAGGCATCTAATTGAGGCCTGCGTTTATTTGTCAAAATGTGGAACTACACCAGGCCAGTAAAAGAGACAGGAGTCTAATTGGGACTAAGTTTTTAATTTAAGTTTTACGGTAATAAACTTAAAAATTGTTAAGGTTAAACCAGTAATTTGCAGACCCTTATATTAAACTAGTGTCTCGTCAGGGCTCCTTGTCACGTTGCCGATCTCTTTCAGTTCCACCAAAGAGGCATTTCCCCTCTAAACTTCTCACATGGTTTCATTTAAATAACAGTTTGAGGCCCAAAGAACTAAAACTCTCCAATGTTTCACTAAAAATTAAAAGTTAGATACTTCAAAAAATGAATACAGACATCTTGTGACCCTGTGGAGGAGGCCCGACCTTTAGGTCTGAACAACTACTAAACCTTTTAAATGCATATAAAGTGGTTTAAAGTAGCTCCAAGTAAGATCTTAACTGAAGGACTTTGACTTGTTTTGGAGTATTCACATTAATTTATCAGTTTATCATTTTCACATTCTACTAATATAATATTTAATAATGTGTCAGTCACAGGAGCCAAAATTTCTTTGGAACAAGTACTTTTACTTCAATTATGCTACTTTTTGCTGATAATGCTTTTGCTGATAATGATAATACTTTTATTGAAGTAAGATTTTAACTGCAGGACTTAATTTTTACATTGTGTTATTGTGTCATTAAGTATCTGCATACACACATAAATACACACCATGGGTGGAAAGTAACTAAGTGCATTTAGTCAAATGGTGTACTTAAGTACAAATTTGAGTACTTAAGTACACTTGCTTTACTTAAGTTTTGGTACTTGCTACTTCTACTCCAATACATCTCAGAGGTACATATTGTATTTTTAGATCCAAGTTACTTTACAAATTAAGATTTTTTACATTTTTGTTATAAGTTAAACTACCCAACAAAGTGCAGCCAAAAAGATCAGTTGTTTAATCAATTAGACAATTGACAGAATATTAATTTGCAATCGACATTTCTAACTAGTTTCAGAATCTCTACAAACCAAAGAGATAGACAGAAAATTGTAATATTCAAATGATATAATAGTATAACAGTCACAGGGGACATTTTTACTTTTCAATGCAGTACTTTATACACATATATATATATATATTCAGCTGAATGGGAAAAACAAGATCCGAGCCATCAACACACATGCCCTGCCAGTCATCAGATACCCCGCTGGTATAATAAACTAATAAACTGGCCAAAGGAGGAGATAGAGGCCACTGACATCAAGACAAGAAAGCTCCTCACAATGCATGGAGGGTTTCACCCCAAATCCAGCACCCTGAGACTGTACACTAAGCGGAGCGAGAGTGTCAAGACCACTGTCCAAGATGAAATACAAAGATCCAGGAGTACATCAGGAAGATGGCCCCCAAGATGAAGCGCTTAGTGAATACCTCAGGAAGCAGAAACCCGAGGGTGAGGACAAGGAAGACGAAGAACCTTCATGGATAGACAAGCCGCTGCACAGCATGTACCACAGACAAACAGAACAAGTGGCTGATATCAAGAAATCCTACAAGTGGCTGGAAAAGGCTGGACTGAAGGACAGCAGAGAAGCACTAATCATGGCGGCACAAGAACAGGCACTCAGTACAAGATCAATAGAGGCAGGGTGTGCAAGGATGCCCCTGAGACAGTACAGCACATAACAGCAGGGTGTAAGATGCAGGCAGGAGGTGCGTACATGGAACGCCATAACCAGGTAGCTGGCATAGTGTACAGGAACATCTGCCATGAGGATGGGCTGGAAGTCCCAAGGTCAAAATGGAAGACACCTCCTAAGGTAGTTGAGAATAATCGAGCCAAGATCCTGTGGGACTTCGAGATCCAGACTGACAAACTGGTGATGGCTAACACACCAGACATCGTGTTGATCGACAATCAGCAGAAGAAGCCTGCAGTGATAGATGTGGCGATCCCAAGAGACAGCAACATCAAGAAGAAGGAACACGAGAAGCTTGAGAAATACCAAGGGCTGAAAGAGGAGCTAGAAAAGATGTGAAGAGTATGAGCAACAGTGGTGCCAGTGGTAATCGGAGCACTGGGGGCTGTGACCCCCAAACTGGGAGAGTGGCTACAGCAGATTCCAGGTAAAACATCAGAGGAAGACTGTAGTCCTAGGAACAGCTAAGATACTGCGCAGAACCCTCAAACTCCCAGGCCTCTGGTAGAGGACCAGAGCTGGAGGATGACACATACACCCAGCAAGGGGTGAGAGGGGGATTTTCATACATATATACAGTATTTTTAGAGTATTAGAGTATTTTTACAGTGTGGTCTTGGTACTTTTACTTAAGTAAAAGATCTTAATAATTAAATAAGTTATATAAACACATCTTCAGAAGTGACACGATGTTGATCTCTTGCTCCTCTCTTGTTCTCTTAACAGATGGAGCTCACGCTCTACATAGAAACAGCACAACAGCGCTCTCTAGTGGCGCGTAGGACAAATCAAGCCATTCAGTCTATGGTTTTCAGTTAATGTAACGTTGGTCTGTGCATTTATTATGATATTTTTAACTACATGCTTCAACATTAAAGTTTGAAGTATCCATAATTAATAAAACAACAAGGGGAAGAAAAGCTTCTCTCTGTGTCCCAAACATGTTTCACTGTGAAATCAGAAAGATCCACCCCTATATAAATGCACCGTAAAACTTTTCCGTCATGCTCTCTTTGTTTGTTTTCTTTGTCTGCTTTGAGAGGTGTTCTGTTGCCTCTGTAGTCATGCATTTAACTGTAACATCCCCTTATGTTTATTTATTGTTTTTAAAGTGCACTTTGGTCACTGTTGGGGACTGAGGGAGTGGGGACAAAGTTCACAGGGCGCATGTAAGGAGGAGGGGGTGAAGAGGAGGAAGGTTAAAAAAAAGAAAATTGACCTTTGAAAGCAAAACAGCAGGTGGAGAGCTAAAGCCAGGCAGCTCCGGACACATCAGAAGGAAATTCAACCCAAGGAAAATGAAAGCATACGTCCTCTTGAGCTGAAGAGGGACTACAAATATAATGAAGCCCAACGCTGGCTGTCTGGCCGTCATTTGAGTGTGGTAGGGCACATGAGAGCAGAGTTTGTTTGCGAGGCTGTAGCGAGGTAAGGTATCAGAGTAATGGAAGAGAGTGCAGCCAAGGCGAAGCCGAGCCGCTTGACCGCACTTCAGGAGCAGCTGGTCTGGGCCCTGCTGGGATCTGGACTGTCCCAGGACGTCCTAGTCCAAGCCATGGGTGAGCTGGAGCGAGAGAGGGCGAGTGCTGGCCCCGAGAAGGTAGAGAGGGGGGATGGAGAGAGCTCCGAGGAAGGAGAAATGGATTTCCCACCGCCTATATTCCGAGAGCTGGAAAAGCTTTCATCAGAAGAGGCGGCCAAACTGAGGGTTGAAGTTGACCAGCTACTGCAGTAAGTAGATCCCAGCGCTTCTCTGGAAGCTCCACAGCAAAATCACTTTGGTCTCTCACTAACTGCTATTCTCACACGGCACTTTGTCTGTGCCTCCCAACTCGGAACTGATCAGGTCAAAATTGAAAATACCTTGACCACTTCATCAACGCTGTATTTGAACCCTTTCTTCTGTTTTATCTCCTGTATTTCAGAACTAATCACCCGAGAGTCGAAACAACAGTTTACCTGATAACCTCCCCTCTTTTCCTTTATTCTTCTTAAGCTCGGCTCCCCTCTCTTTACCAATTCCTCCCTCCTTCTCCTGCTTCTCTGTCTGTCCCTCTCTCTCTGCAGCCTGGCTTCTGAGGCGAATTTAAAGAGGGTTCCTCCTTTGCTAGTTACTAATTACCCACCCCCATCATTATTCTGTGGCCATTTCTTAATAAATAAGTTACATGCAAAGGTGAAGATTAATGGAGTAGGGCTGGTCATGTGAGGCTGTGTTTACTCAACACATGAGTGATATTTGTACATGCAGTTGTTAGGCCCATTTTCTGATATTTGGAGTACACTGTGCACGTCCAACTGTAAACTTTATGGAGAGTATTCAAATACTCGTTAATTAGCTGTTTAAAACATGTTTATTTTGTTGTTTTTTTAAACTTTACTGTCTTAAGCAATGTCTAAACGTTGTTTAGTGTGCTGAATTTGAATCTAGTAAAGTCAGGAACCTTTGAAATTTGGTGTATTTTATCTGCTTCCAACCTGATAGAAAGTGTTAAATTAGGGCTCATAAACCTTTTACATGTTTTTCCCCTCCAGTGATCTGAAAGGCCTGGACTTTGCCCCTGTGTACTTTCCCTTATCTCTCTCTGTCAATAAGCCTGTCTCTACTTCCCTCTGAGTGGACATGCTTTATGTCTAATGTTGTGACAAACTGTGCCTGTTAAGCCCTTTCCTGTTATAAATATTTAGGGAAAAGAAAAAGAGATATACAAATAAATAAGAATACATAAAAACATAAAGTAGTCAACTACAAGAATTATGTCTTTGTCTAATAGGGGGGATCCCTGGCACGTTGCAAAAATGGTAAAAAGCTACATGCAGCAGCACAACCTCCCTCAGAGAGAGGTTGTGGAGTCCACAGGACTCAACCAGTCCCACCTCTCCCAGCACCTCAACAAAGGCACACCCATGAAGAACCAGAAGAGAGCCGCTCTGTACACCTGGTACGTCAAGAAGCAATGGGAGATCAGCCAGCGTAAGTACACAAGCCGATGTAGCGCTGACAAAGTCCCTAATCTCTGCTTTCAAATATGCACCAAATATCTGTTCTCTAAGAGTGCGAGACTAAAAGACAGGTGTAAAAAAAAATAAAATAAAAAGAGGAACATTTTAAAAATGCCCATTCCCTTCCAGAATTTACCAACGCCAAACATGGCTTTGCATCTGGGGAGGAGCAAGGAGAGGACACCAGGAAAGGACGGAGGAACAGGTTCAAATGGGGTCCAGCGTCGCTGCAGATCCTCTTCCACGCCTATGAACGACAGAAAAACCCCAGCAAAGAGGAGAGAGAGGGGCTGGTGGAGGACTGTAACAGGTGGGACATAGTGATGGTACCAGGACAAAACGTGACTATTTGTTACAGCTTTGCTGATGCGTCAGTTTGGCCCAACCAGATCCAAATCATGGGCGGGAGTGGTGAGGTCAGGTCAGTTTTGTATTATTTTCATTAAAGCCACAAAAAAATCAGCATCTGATCTCTGTGTTGCTCTATTTCAATATCTATTTATGACAAAATTAGTGACAACCAAAGGGTGTATATATATATATGTACACATACAACAGTCAAAAATTCATACTGCAAACAGACTAATATGCTAACATGATGCTAACAGACTAATACCAAAAAGGAGACACGCCACTCAATCACATCCTCAATACAACTCTATGGGGAAAGCCCATCACGGCTGCTAGAAAGCCAATCGTCTGCTTTTAACAGCCAAAGCGGGAAACATTTTTCAGCCAATCATGTGGTTCCACTTACGTAAAGGTCTGTTTTACTTCTACTGCCTACAAGGTCTTTGATATAAACAGCTAACACAGGTTAGCATTGTCACTGTGAGCATGTTAGCATTAAGGTCAAAGCACCATTGTGTAAAAGTACACAAGTCTCACACAGCTGCTAGCACGCCGGTGGACACTTTATATTGTTTCTTTATAACTTTCAGCTACCGTAAAACTTCAATTGAAAGACGAGTCCCAATTAGATGCCCGTCCCTTTTACTGGCCTGGTGTGGCTACACGTTTTGACATATAAATAAAAGTCTCAATTAGAAGCCTGTTTTGAAGTTCTTTGGATGTATAAAAACTCTTAAGGCCCCTAATTTTTATGCATATAATATTCATACTGGTTTCAATATGAACCGAAATAAATAGTAGCCTATTTCCCATTTTTCTATCAAGAGTTTTGTGTGAAAGGAATTAAAGGCCTGTCCCATTTAGACGCCGGTCCCAAATGTAGGCAGCGTGAGTTCTGTGATTAAAGTAAATAAAAGTCTGGACTGTTAATTGTAAAGTTTTACCGTATCTTAATTATCCTTAAATTATAATTTGATCCAAGACCGCTGAGCCTTCTAAGTAATTTTTACAGTGTACTTCTGGTAATGTAATATTAAAAAACGTCTGCTCCCTGGTGTGTTTGTCTTTTGTACATGCTAACACCTACGGCATGTTTAGTACCTGTGGGTGGTTGGTCAACCTCAAAAAAGGTTTGGAGAGCATTTCTAAAATCCTTTAGTTAAATAGTAATTTAGGTGACCACACTCTCGATAGAGACAGTGCATGCAAATGTAAAGCCATGTATGAGTGTGCTCTTCCTCCCTCAGGGCAGAGTGTATCCAGAGGGGGGTGTCTCCCTCCCAGCTTGCAGGCCTGGGCTCCAACCTGGTTACTGAGGTCCGGGTGTACAACTGGTTCGCCAACCGCCGCAAAGAAGAGGCCTTCCGTCACAAACTGGCTCTGGACACACCTTTTCCCAACCAATCCGCCTCCTCTTCTAACCACGCCCTCCCACCAAGTCCTGAGCATGGTAATAATCTCTTGTCTTGTCTTTGTTAACCTTTGGTGTAAAAACTAAAAACCTGCACACTCTTGTCGGCATGCCGGAACTGGTTCTGGTACTGATGCTCATATTTCCCAGTTACCTCATGCTGCCATTTGAGACCATCAACCAAACCTGTGTTGTGTATTTGTAAAATATGAACCCTGTCAGTGTTGTGGGACCTGACATCTTGTTTTCCAGGAGTGAAATACAGCCACCAAATCCTGTGTGACACCGTGAGCTCAGCCAGAGGTAACGGAGGGGAGAGGGTGGGACGTCTTGTAGTCAGCCCTATCCAACTGGAGCCCAGCCACACACTCCTCGAGACACATAACCACAAGCAGGTAAGAGCATGTGCGGTGGTCACTCACTTTATTGTAACCTGCATGCACTGCTACCATCATGACCATGTTGTCCTCTGGTCTCAGCTGTCCAGCAGTGGTCCACTGCCCCCAGTAAGCACTCTGACCTCGCTGCACAGTCTGTCTGCCTCGACTGCTTCCTCACAGAGCCTCATCATGGCCTCGCTGCCCAGCGTCATGAGCCTGGGGGAGTCCTCACTTCTCATCGGTAACATCGGTTCCCTGGTCTCCTTTCTTTTTATATATATATATATATATATAAGAAAAAAAAGAGGAATTTAGAGAACAATGTCTTGATTCACAGGTTTAGCCTCCACGCCGCCTCAGACCGTGCCCGTTATCAACAACGTTGGAGGCGCTTTCACCACTCTCCAGCCAATCTCATTCCAGCAGCAGCTCCACGCCTCTCACCAGCAGCCGATATCACAGCAGCTCCAGAGCCACATGAGTGCCAGTCCCTTCATGGCAACCATGGCGCAGCTGCCGTGTCACAGTAAGGCTACAGCATCAAAACGATGAGTTTAACGTGTTAAGTAAAGATCCATTCACATGTTCCTCATTACAGTGTACAACAAGTCGGATTCGCCCCAGTACCATACGTCCAGTCTGCTGTCTCAAGCCATGGTGATCACTGACAGCAGCAGCCTGGGGACGCTGACCAGCCTCGCTGCTGTCCGACAGGTAACTGACAGCTCTGATGGGGTGATTGGCCTGTTAAGGCATTAGAAATCCTATTGTTGGTTAAAAAAACCTTCTTAATTTGTGTTTTGGGTAGATTCTAACAGCAGAATCTGATGAACCGACGGATCCACCTTTAGAAGACTCTCTACACCTGCAGCCGCACACACCTGTGGCAGGTACACAATTGTAAATACAGTTTTACTCCTGCATCTACATCCTACTACAACATGACATCATTCTAGTTCTGAAAATTTCACGACCTAACTGTTACTGACTTTGGACCATTTCAGAGCCAGATTTACCAAAAAGTATCACACACTCAGGCTTGAATGCATTAATGTTGCTGTGAGCTGCTTCTTAGCAATTATTTGGTGGGTGAAATGAACCACATGGCGTAATCGTATTAGATGAATTTGAGAAACTGTAATGTTCTGCAATATAATAATATTTTGTTGGAAGTGACATTCACTAATTACATTGGATCACATAAACGGCTCACAAAGACTTCAGAATTTGGTAATAAACTAGTTGGATTAATTTAGCTGACAACCTCAAGGTGACTACAAGAAGAAGTCACTGAATTTGGTCACAGATGGGGGGACAAATTACAGGAAACTGGAACAAAAGAGTTGAGAAACATCACACACTTGAGTGAATAAAAAGCTGTGGCCATCATAGTCACCAGTTTTCACACCTACAGAAGATTTTGAAAGACAATGCTCTCCAGTACTGTCTCCATAAGACCATAAACTATCCTCTTCCACTCGAATTAGTGACATCTGTGACCGTCTCTTGTGCTATATGTCCTTTTGTTTTTCTTTCTATGTGCTGTACTCGGGTCTCTCAGACATGTCTCAATGAGATGACCTGATAAAATAAAGGTGGTGTATATAAACGAGGGAATATCTTGCTATTGTAGACTTTGCAAAGGAGCATGAGCATTAGCATGGTTTTCCTTTAATTTGTCTACCATCTGTACCTTCGGACAGAGCTTTGCTAGCTGTTTCCACTGGTTTTCAGTCTTTATGCTAAGCTAGGTGGCGGCTGACAGTGGTATCAATCTCATCTAACTCTTGAAAAGAAAGCAAATGTGCATATTTACCATGCATGCATGTATTATCATATGAGTAAAAGTAATTCATTTCATGCTTTCAGCTTAACTCAGTGGAAACTGTATGTAGTGGGTGATTTTAGTGACAGGCTAGTATGTCCACAGGCAGGAACCTAAAGGAAACAAACATTCAAACCCTTACAGCCTGAACTCTACATGCATATGTTCTAAGGAAAGTCATGAGGTCTATGCACTAAATGTTTCTTTAGGGTTTCTACGCCTGCGCGCTGCGGAAAAATATCAACTTTGCTAAAAGCATTGCCGTCCAGAAAAACATCATTTCCATTTTTGTTCTTGCCAACAGCTTCTTCTGAGAGCCTAGAGCTGTATCCCGCTTCTCAGCCGACAGACAGCCATCAATCTCACCTGCTCTCGCCTTCACCAACAGACATCAGCTCCTACATTCCTACACAAATGGTCTCTACAGCGCAGTAGAAGCTGCTCTGGCAATGTAGCGTCTCCTCACCGTCTGGACTCGGGAGCGTGGCGGCGTTTTGGATTGTCAGCTACCTCTGGTGTGAACTCCACAGGGACGAGTTTCAAAGACTCTCTAAAATGCCGTACCACTGTAATACGAACAAGTATCGACATTAGAGAAGATTCACTTTTGATACAACAATCAACTGAAAATCCACATCAAAATGTATTTTTTATTCAAATGTTTAGTGATACTCAGATATTGTACATGAAGTTGAAACTTTTAAACCGCATGTTACCTGCATTTTTTTATGTCACTGCCTTGCAATGCTTTTTCTTTTTTAAACACTCTTAATGAGTATCTTTCATGACAAAAGACTATTTTGAAAATAGCCATGAGAAATGGTATAAAAAGACTTTTCACGAAGAAGTGAACTCTCGTGTTTGTGCTGCATGTCCTAAAACACATGGCTTCCTAAAATATACTTGACATGTTTTGGAAAATATGTACATATCTTCAATCATTTTAAAGCTTGTGACAGTGACGGAAAACAGAGAACCATCCCAAAATGGTTATGAGGAATTCAGTTCAAAACATCTTCTCGCTTCTTTTTCTTTTTCCGTTTTACTTTGACTTGCGTGTGCTCCTGCTCAGAGCTCCCAAGCTCACCATTGCCTTGAGCATTAAGAGGAGAGCCTGCAGAGTCACTCTCTCCTTGTTTTTGTTTCCTCTTCTTCTTCTTTTTCTTAACAACATGGCACTCCCCTTCCTCTGTCAGTTTCTTCTTTGTCTTTTCTATTGTTTCTGATGATGGAGTTGAGAGTGTAGAGGGCAGCGACGATGAAGGTAAGAGGTCTTTGACAGACACCGCTGCCTCCCTCAGCCTCATTTCCATCTCACTGTCGCTGTCACTGTGACCAACAGAGAAATTATGTTAAATTAATGAGTATACAAACAAATCGAGTTGTTTAGAACAAAACACACACACTAATAAGAACACGAAGAATAAGAACCTTGAGCTTGGGACAGTTCGACGCCTGACAGGAGCTGGAGGATCCACAGCTGTCTGTCCCGGGACTGACGTTGAAAACAGAAGAAATCCTGAAAAAAAAAATGGATATGAATACATTTAAAGAGAAGATGGAAGAATCCCCATAAAAGTACCAAAATAAAGAGTAACTTCACCTTCATCATTATCATCAAATTGTGCTGATTTCACACTGGATGAGGTTTCGTTCTGCATCTCTGTAATGCAACTGACAGTGACAGGCATTTTTTAAAGTGTCAGGTGTAAAAACAAAATTACTGATCCGTTAAAATGCTAAACATTTCTGCATAATCAAACTATTCACCTGTCAAGAAGATGTCCCAACTTTTTGGCGACGTGTGTTCGAAACTCTTGGGTGACCTGGAGCTCGTTGCCATCATGTTCATGGGCAGCGACAACAACACTAGTTGCACAGCGAGACAATATCCAGCACCATAAAGCTGCACATGTACTATTAAAGTTATAACTTATATCCTAACATTACTGAGACTGTGAGGAGATGCACAAACTATTTTACACTAGCAGTTTACTTCCAAACAATGGTTTACAGTTGGTTCTTTTGACACTTACCGCTTTGACTGTTGCACACTGCTGTCCCCATCTAAGGTAGAAGAAAGTTAGCAGCAGTTATCATTGGGTAAAACGCATTTGATGCAATACTGTCTGAATGAGGTTGAAAGTTAACACCAGTAACGTTGCGCTGCGAGCGACACAATGAGCTCTTAATTCCAATAAGGAAAACAGCAAAGTAGTCATGTAACTTTAGCCAATGTTTAATTACAGCTGCTAAGTTACCTCTGTGTCTAAATTAGAAGTATGATAAGGGGTGGACCTCTCACCAGGACCATCTCCATGGGAAAATTAAGGGAAACTCGGGTCCAGATCAAAGTACACCTAGAGCTGTCAAATCTGCACTTGATTGTTAAAATGTAAATGTTGTTTTTTTTTTTAGACTTGGTCCAGATAGAAAACTACTTTGTCTAGAGCTGTCACATTTGGACTAGATTATTCCAGAGAGGCTAAAGTTTCTCCAAAACACAGTTTCAGATTTGTGAAACCTTGATTCTACTTGTGAAAATGAAAAAAGGCGATTTATTTGGTCTAATGTGGTCTATATGTAAAAAAAAAACAACAACAATGCATTTTCACAAATAGAATAAAAGTTTCACAAATTTGAAACTAGGTTTTAAAGAAACGTAGCTTCTCTGGAATGATCTAGTCCAGATGTGACAGCTCTAGGCATAGTGTTTTTTTTATCTGCACCTGGTTAAATGTGATCTACAAGCTAACAAAACAGTGAAATCGCCCTTTTTTCATTTTCACAAATAGAATAAAGGTTTCACAAATCTGAAACTATGTTTTAAAGAAACTTCAGTCTCTCTGGGAAAATCTAGTGCAGAATTAAGTGGGGTTTTTTTGGATCAGGACCTTCCCCAACTTTCCCCTGCAGAAGCAGAAGCTAACTTCAGCGCTTTGAGCTAGCTGTCTCTCCCGCTTTACTGTCACAACAGAAACACCTTCACCTTTCTTCTTGTCGGTTCTTGTTTCCCAAACTGCCTCCCGACATCTCCTGAGAGCCTCATCGTCACTGCTGCTGGAGTCGTCCGACACACCAGACATCTTTTTAGCGGTGGCCGCCATGATGAAACATGTGCTGCTGGTGTTGTCTGTTTTGAGCTGAGGATTGTGGGTAACGTAGTATTTTCGTCAAGGGTGGACACACAACAGGCCTTTTTACTCAAGATATTATATAGTTTTTATTCATCGCTGTCTTCATACAACTTTGAGAAACAAACTGTTTGAACAAGACTAAATCTGAGTAAAAAATAAAAATAATAAAAAGTAGTCTAATTAGTCTATTTACATCCTCACTGGACTCACAGAGGAAGTCAAAGATAAAAGCTGTGCAAACTGTCATACATTAAGATTTCCCAACATAGACTAGTGCGGATTAGAATTAAATGACAAAACAAAACATAACAAACATGATGCCATTTTCATGTCATATCGAAAAGTCTGAATGGGATCATATTTAGTTTGCAACAACTATCCAAAAGTGTGTGGCTTTAAGAATGTCAGAAGAATTTGCTCCATTTTCGTGAGGTACACATACCTTGGACAGGTCACATAATCAGATCACCTGCTTTGTTTACACTTCAATTAACCCCCCTGATAATCAACATATTAGAATCAGCACTAGGACTGCAATGACAATGTTTTTTTGCAGTCAGATGTTTTTATTTACAATTAATCTGATGCGACATGAATGTGTCATTGGTAAAAATCCGCCAACATAAAAAGAGTAGTCCATACACTCTTTTTGTGCAGACATACAAAGTGTATTAAAAAAGGTATTTAGATCATCAGATTTATTTTTAACCACTGACTCATACTGTATAGCAAAAGAATGTACAAACCTACAAGCTACAAACCAGCAGTCATGCTGATTTACATCCATCGAGTCCAAATGGCAAAAAAATGTTGGTTGTATAGTGTCACGGAGCAAAGGCCACGGCTGTCCAAGTGCGTGCCTGATATCACACTCGTTGGTTGTTAATGGGCTACATAATGGAGTTTGATGAGCGTACAGAAGCCCCCGTAACACACCCCGTTTCACACAAGGCAGTACTGAAAGATGGTCAGATTATGACACACAAACATAAAGCCCTTACATAAAAATAAAAGACCTGTATGTAAGGCACATGGTTGAAGTTACAATATACAGTAAAAAGAAGCACAGATCATTTGTGCATTGAAAAATGACTTCCACACTGTTCCAGTGGTTTTGCATGATTTAAATATGAATTACATAATAGTGTTAAAGCTGACCATTTACAAGGGTTTTAAAATTATTTCCTGCCACACAGGTAGCCACTGATTTCCATTTATGTCTGTACAATATAAAAATCAAAGCTAATTAGCATGGATATTTAGACTGGAAATGACCTTTCAAGCAGAGACCATTCTGAAAGTCTTCATTGTTAGTGTGTTCAATTAATTACAGAAATATTATTATTATTATTATTATTATTATTATTATTATTATGGACCTTTCAGGAACAACAGCACCACAGGTTCTTAAATGTCCATTTAATCAAATCCACACCCTCTCTGATACAGTCACCAAAAAAAAAAGAGCACTGCGAGCTCAACTAAAGCAGGATTTACTGCAGGACTGTTGAATGTACAGGTGTTTCTAATAGACTGGAAACAAAAAAAACACTAGTATAGTCCTTAAAACAGGGCAAAAACAGGTCAGCTTCTGCATCCACCCTACTGCCTCATTAAAAATAGAGGAACTACCAAGCTACATCACTCTGCACTGTCATGCTACTGTGGTATGTCACTGGTAGGACTGAGAACCTGAGCGCAGAGCAGCAGAGGATACACCCAGTAACCGCTTTAATAGGTATACCACACTGTTGGCCCATCTCGGCTTCTAAGTAGCGGGATTCACAGTGCTGTCGTGCCAAACATACCAGTTAGACAGACCTCAAGGGATTTAATATCCATGTGATCATCAGACACGGATGGCATATAAAGAAAGCACAGTCTGCTGCTAGCTTGTCCATTTTTATGTATCTCAGTGTGTAGAGGATACAGAGTTTGATAAAACAAACACTAGATTCCCAGTCGACAGCCAAAATGTAACCTGGGATCATGAGAAGAGCTCACGGCGTTCTTGACCTAAAAGGAGGTCCTACGAAAGAGAAGATTGGTCAGCCTAAAAGTTGAGACCAAGCTCAAATAGATGACACAAACAGTCCCAACTCACAACTGATATATAATATATTTAAGGAAGAATGAAACTCAAACAATGTCAACTAGTATTACATGATCATATATGACCTAACAATATTGTAAAGCATCTAGTTAATGCTCGCAATTTCCATATTGGAAACACAATTGTCACTTCAAATAAACAGCAACTGATAAGTCTACATACTTAATACACAAAGTTATAACTAAAGTCTAAAGACTTTGCCACAATAGGTCTGTGACTCAAAGGGTCCCTTTCCAGCAGAGACTGCAATAAACTTAAGGCAAAAGAGTTCAAGCAGTAACATGATACGTATGACAAACCGAAAAGATCAGAAAAAAATGCTTCACTAGGAGAAATATCTAACAGAACACTCCTCGAGAGTCCCAGAAACTGAGCTCTATGAGGTACTGATGAATGGATCCATGATTTTATATGAAGGCAGATGCGGTCCGTTGATTCTGAAGAATGCTGTCACGTTTGTAGGGACTGTCCGCCAAGGAAAGAATACTTCTGTTACCCAAAAAGAAGCTTTTGTATTAGGTGATCCACGAAATAATCCCCTGGGAAATACTGCACACATTTTTCCCCTTTAGGCATTACAGACCACCATCGTAGGCATAGTCTGCCTTGTTGTGCATGATGAGTTTGTTGTCCACAAAGTAGAAACTGTCTGATCTGGTCTCATAAGGGTGCGCCACCATTTGCCGAACTGAAAGGGGAGAAGGAAGGAAGGAAGGATGAACAAGATGAATGAAGATATGGATTGTTATGTGAAAATATGCATGCAACAGCATCTCGTGGCTGACCAAAAAAGACTCACTGAGGTCGTCTGGAAGCTGCGGAAACTCATAAATGTGTTCACATGTGTTGCGGCTGTTGGGAATGCAGAAACCAAAGTCAAAGTCAAAGTTCTTGAGAAGGCGTCCCTGGAAGTAATGCCTCTCAATCATACGAAAGTTGTTGATGGGCCGGTCGCCCACTGTGAACTCCACACTGAGGTTTAGAAACAGAAACAAGAGAGACAACATTTACAATTCGGTTGTAACAAAATGTTTTAAAACAAGTTGATTTTGATTTTTATTCTCTCTGCTATTTTTAGTCAAAAATGTATGGGTCATTTACTTACGTTGCACCAACAGTACGCAGTTTTAAGAAGGCTGGTGTGAACTGATATCGCACAAAACGCCCTGAACTCGTGTCTACGTCTCCACTCTCTTCTTCACCTTCCACGGTACCTTATACAGAAAACATGTTTAGCTAACTGGCATCCAGTATTCACAGGATAGGCAATACAGACAATGAAGGTGTAATAATTAGGGTTGGGTATTGTTTCAATTTTATCAAATCCGGTTCTTATAGAATCTCAGTTTTGATTCCAACCCCTTCACCACAAATCTTGTCAACGCTCGTTGCCACTTCCTCCTTGCTCATTTTCCCCTTCATGGCTAAAGTGAAAGGAGAGTCTATACTAGAGGGGCCTCTCTGCGGACTCGTATCTAAGAAAAATATATACTGGAATAATTTGTAGATATTCGTTTCCCTTCACTGTAAATGAATGTCAGCTCACCTGTGTTTTGTACCCGAGTGTGAGATGTTGCTACTGTTAGCGTGAGCTGTATCTGAGAGCGCGCGACACACTGAACACGGTGCTTTCCTTCAGATTCACACCGTGTGGAAGTAAATGCTTCGTCACGTTGGAGCTGCTTCCTCCCTTGCACCAAATCTCCTTACTGCAGGTGTTGCATTTTGCTTTGTTGTTCTCTTTTTTTTAGTAAAGCAAAGCCAAACTTTTGATTTGCTGCAGTCTGCCATGGTCCAGGAATGTTAACAGAAGTAGTCTCTGCTTTGTTGACGTACTGAAGGTCCTGGCAGATAAGTGCAACTTTTATGGACTGTAAAATACCCTAGTAAAAATGCATCAACATACTTTTATTTTTAAAGATACATATTCTGTTATTAGTTGCATGTTATTGCTTTAAATTATCTTTCTAAAATAGCAGTGGTAAAGCTGCTTCCAGGTTTGTAAGAGCAGTGGCAAATTAATCTGATTCAGATGTTTAAAAAGGTCTGGAAAAAAATCTGAACGTTAAATGTATGTTACAAAGTAAAAGGGACGTAATAAGAATGACTGACTGCTCTATTATATAAATATTTCTGGAGATAAATATAACCGAGAGTATATAACAATGAGTTGAGAGCTTTACGCGGCACACCCCTGGGAAACGCTGCCGTTGTCATGCTTGGTAATAACAGCGCTCTGTTGACCGTACAACACCTGAGGGCTATAACTGAACTGAGCTTGGTGGAGGAACAAGAGTTAATATGTCACTTACCGCTGTTCGGAGGTTTGGCTATCTCAAACAGCACAGTTCCTGTCTCCAGATCTCTTATTTTGAAACGTGTAAAGTCAATGTTGAAGATATTGTCTTCAGGTTTGCAAAGATAATCTGGAATGTGAAATGAGTGTTAAGACAAACATTGACATTTAATTAGATTTGCCAGTACTTTTGAGGCAAGTCACAAAATAAAAGATAAAACACCAATAGAAGTTAAAAGATAGAACTCAATGAGCAACTAGGGTTTCAGTATCTGTTTTCTGGCTCCTGCACCTTGCAATAGTGGTGAGTAATGCCATGGCACGGGCTTCCAGCTTTTCAACAAAGTGTGTGAGAGAGAAGTAATGCCATTGTTGTCTGATCCGGGAAAAAGCCAAAAACAATGGGAGGCGTTAGGCATTAGCTGCAACTGTGGTAGACCGGGTGTCCAATAACAGACCCTGGGGTTTGACTCAGAGGATTCAAGCAGGGCAGTTACTAGTGGGGTTACCAAAGGGAAATTAAATTACTTAAAGCTGCGGTAATAAACCATGTTATAATAACCATGGATCAAATGAGTATGTGTAATGTGAAAGGGGTCGCAGCAGCAGGTAGCTGTTTTGAAGCCATTTCCATTTCCCTCACAAGTAGGTAGAGACCAAAACAAAGTTAAAAGTTTAGTTTAGAACAGACATTCATCAGATGGAAAGAAACATAACAGCAAATGTCTTCATTAGATCACAATATGTTGTGTTTATACCTGTTCGTCTTCGCCCAAGTGGCAAAAAAATAATCAGTTACAGCTGATTTAACGGACGCCGCTCTTACATGTAGATCTCGTACTGTATTGATTCCTGTATGTTGTTCCTCAAATGTAAGCAGTGTTCGGCAGTAACACATCACTTTAATATTATTACTTTTCGCAGTAACTAGCAGCCTAGTTCACACTACACATAATTGGTATCTTTATAATAACAAACAACAGCCGTTTTGTCTGTAGGTTCGCGTCATTTCCCGTTTCACATTTCACATGTGTTTTCTTGACAAAACGTGGTTTGGAGACCAGCGTTGGGTAACACAGCTGTTGTCATCTCGGGTATTGTGTGACCCCCTGTCACAGATCAGTCACGTAGTGTGAACGCCACGACTCCTGTCACAAGATGCTAAGTTTTGTAGCACGGCGATCAGCCGAGGCTGAAAGTCGTGTAGTCTGCATGAGCCTTAAGGGATTACTATTTCCAGACAGTAATAATATTATTATTATATTGTTACTGCGTTAATGAACTAAAAAGCTAAAGGAAGAATGGAGAACGTTGTTTCCACAGCTGTAAGTATTGCCATTATTGTGTCACAGTCTAAGAAGCAAAAACATTGCCGTCCGTTGTAAACTTTGCACGACCAGCTATTTGTGTAACAGGTTATTTTTAATACCCAGTTATAAGTTATGTTTTTTTTAAGGAGTAATAAGTAAAAAGTAACTTCTGAGTAACTTACACTGAATTTAAGTCACTTTGGAAAAAGCGATCTGCCAAATGAGTAAATGGGTAAATGAGTTAAGGACCGGGGGGGCCCAGAAAAATATCCCTTCTGGTTGGCTGTAATTCGTTGCTGCGCCCCTGGAAAGTCCTACATCTTAGGTTAACGCCAAATAATTAACTAGAAATACAGTTTAGACAAATGCTGTTATCTGTTTGACCAATTTTAGATAATTATTCAGTATTCATTACGCTAACTTAGTGGACTTACTGATCATATAAAAAGTAGTCACTTAGCCACAATTAGCATTTCATTATAGAGAGAATGGTGCGGTGTGATTTCACCGTTACTTTTAATTAAAGGTAACGCGTCCACATAGCTTACCCTCCGTGACAGCCCGGAGACCCAGGACATGGTCCGGGGAAATCTCTCTCCCCAGAGCCCGGAGTTCATCCTCCGTGACCACAGGCCACTTATCCGTTTGACTGCGCCTCGACTTCAGCTTCTTCAGCATTCCTCCGCCGGTCTTTCTTTCCGAGCCGGTGTCTGATTCCGTCTGTCCTCTGCTGACTTTCGGTGCCGGTTTGTTTCTGTTCATACCGGGACGCAGCAGCAGCAGTAACTTAACGGAGGAGGGGAAAACAGAGTTGTTGTGCTTTCTGGTCTCAGAGCGGATCCACAAACTGCGGGTGTATTTTCAAGATGGCGTAAAACGTGTGTGGGAGACGGAAAAGTGAGATTGTGATTGGCTGTGAACGGTGGAGATTGTTATAGTTACCGAGAGGGTGTGAATGGTTTAAAGCCCAGGCCGGCCCGATTTGCGTGTGTTAGTTTAATGTGTTGCAAGAACGCTTTGAGGTTAAATTAGCCCATTTCATCCAGTCCACAAGCTACCGTCGGTCATCTCTTCCGTTTTGTGAAATGATATTAACAGTCGGTGTTTTTGACAGTCTTGATAAGATAAGCGTTGATGAACAGACTACAAATCCGTGCGACGCGGTGTCTACTATCAAATGCACCCAGCGTCGTTGTTAACGTCCAGCGTGCGGCGCTAGCAGGCAGCTTTGTTGACGGAAGTTCCTACGGAAGAAGAGAGGAGCTGCAGCCATGGTGCGGGCGAAGTCGAGGTAAAATGTGCTCTTCGTGTACTATGTCCTCACATTGCGTGTGCTTACAGTTGATGTCTGACAGTTAATCTTCTGTCGGTAGGTATTTACTGTGCGAAGTGAACGTTTCGGACAAGAGCCGCCTGTTGCTGCTGGATGACCGAGCTATTGCTGCGGCAGTGAAGGCAGCGGTGGCCCGCACACACGGGGACTACGGGGCGGCTCTCTGCAGCATCAGATTCGCTGGTAAGCAGTGGTGGAGGAAGTATTTAGATGCCTGTATATTAAACATGTAGATGGATATTAAATCGTATTTTATAAAACGATACGGATCATATGTAATGTATGTAAAATCTTAATTTGCAAAGTAAGAAGTAACAACGCTGTCAAATAGGTTAAAAGTAATAAGTAAAAACAAAGTAAAACATTTGGTGAGGTAGAAGTACCATCAATTGAACTGGTATAAAAACTTAAATGAACTGTCTGGGTTTTATTTGCTTCAGTCACTGAACTCACCCTGCCTATCTTTTATTGGGACCTTTAATTCCTTTCCCACAAAACTCTTGCTCAGCAAAGATGGGAAATAGACTGCTATCAAATTGTTTATTAAACCAGTATGAATATTGTGTAAAAATTAGTGGAGAGCGAAATCGTAGCCGACCATAGAAAGGATGAAAGTCAAATGTTACCATAGTTGTTTCAACTTGGAATACTTTTTATTAAAAATCATTTTGATTCTTTTGATTGTCCTTATAGACTTAAAGGAATATAAATAATCAAAGAATGGACACATATTCAGACTTTATGATTGCTTCAAAGGTAGGGAGTCAGTGCTTTCTTTACTGTATTTATCATACCGGTAAATCAGAATGAATCATATCCACCAGGCATCTAATTGGGACTACAGGCATTTTAACTGAAGTTTTACAGGACTCAAGTAAAGTACATTACTTAAATAAATGTCCACCACAGCTTGTAAGATACATTAGAAGAGCTTTAGTGCTGAAGTCCTGAAAACACATTAAAAGCAGGTTCACAGGTCCACATTTCTATCTCTTTAGAGGATATTAAAGGTTCCTCTTAGGGGATGATACTGGTCCCGACTCTAACAATTAATCACCGATTACACGGTACTTTCAGGATATTATCTGTTGACTGAGCTCTTATATTTCTGTTTTTTTCTTCCTTTTTTAGTGAAGTATCTTAATGCGCACACTGGCATAGTATTCCTGCGTTTCCCCAAAAGGTCTTACAAACTCCTATGGTCTGCATTACCTTTCATTACAAGTGTTGAACCCCGCGGGCAGAAAATCCCTTGTTTCCTGAACTGTTTGCACGTGGGAGGTAAGAAAAACATCAACATACATATCATAATGCATCAGACATATATATATTTTTTTATTTCATGTTAAATATTAATTGAAAACTAATTAAAGGTATTTGTTCTTTCCAGGAACAATAAGAACATGTCAGAAGTTTCTGATCCGATACAACACCCAGCAGCTCCACCGAATGCTCCCTCAATGTAAAAATGAAGGTAAACGATTTAATTTTATGCCATTTAATATTATTTATACTGAACTCTGCGATTACAGTTGGTTGTTGTCCATTTATTTAGTTATTTGCTCATGTTTTTTAACTCGCTGATATTAACTTATAAATAGATTTATAATAATAACTTATAATAAAACTAAATGTTTACCAGTGTTGAACATGCATCTTACAGGATGCATTGAAGCATTTAATTTAATTTAGGGTCCTTTATCTAATTTTGTATTGTGGTCTGAAGTTTAATGGAGACCACAAGATTTGAATGCACGACATTGAATTTAAGATGAACACAGAAAAAATGCCTGGTTTCACTGGTTCCTTCTCTTTTGTTCATTTGCAGAAGAAAGAAAACAGGTTCGCAAATCAATTCTTAACTGCTCCCTCATCGGAGGAAAGAAGGAAGCATTTAAAGATGAATCAGAGAGTGAGGAAGATGATGGAGAAGATTGACTTCACAATATGCAGGAAAAAGGCAACAGTTGTGTAATTCTCCTTGGATGTCTGGTTCTGACTATTTAAGGGACTGATTACAAAAGAAGATGTGAAGCATTTGAAAAAGTACATGCTTTCATCCTTTCTGTGGAAAGGTGGTTTACTGCAGCTGCTCCGTGGATTTGCTACTAAAGAAAACAGACTGAGTGTATGCCTGTGTTCAACAGAGGGACACATTGCATAATGTTTGTCTCATAAATAATTTGGGTTGGTATTGTGGCCTGATGGTCAGCATGAATAATGTTTAACAGTCAGTTCAATTGTTTGACTCTCAGAATTACAATCCTGTGGCTGTTTTGGAAAAGTGTCACCAAAAATAAAACAAATATAAATCACATAGCGCAAAAAAGATTATGGCCTAATTCTGAACAAACATAGTTATGGTTTAATGAATTTATTTTTTATTTATACTGTTTTGTGCTACTCTTTTTTTTACTTTTTTTTTTTTTTAGAAATAAAAGCACTACTTTTGAAGATAATGTGTTTGTCATGGTGTCCTAAAAATTACTTTGCCACACACTTATGTGCACCATCCAAACATTAACAAAATTGGTGGTATACAGTTAGTAAACATATTTTATTAAAGATCGATATCTGCTGATATTGCATAACCTTTTTTGTTTTGGTTCACTACTGTGTTTTTAAGACATCGGTCAAATAGTCAACAGTTTTATATTTATACTAAACCAACTTTAACTTCACGTGTTTTGTACCTACATAGCAGCCAAAGCTATTTGGACTACATTTCCCAGAATACCTAGCTGGATTGTAGGCAGCATATGAAACATCAGTGAAATAATTAGCAGAATTATATTTTCACTAAATCTATTTTAACTTCACCTGTTTTGTACCTACATAGCTGCCATTTCCCATAATGCCTAGCTGATTTGAAGGAAGCTTAAGTAACATCAAATTATATTTTTACTAAACCTATTTTAACTTCACCTGTTTGTACCTACATGGCTGACAAAGCTACTACGACTACATTTCCCACAATGCCTAGCTGATTTGTAGGCAGCACACGAAACAACAGTCAAATAACAAAATATTTTTACCTGTTTTGTACCTACATAGCTGCCAAAACTATTCTGAGTATATTTCCCACAGTGCCTAGCTGATTTGTAGGCAACATAAGAAACATCAGTCAATTAATCAGCAGAGTTATATTTTTACCTATTTTAACTTTACCTGTTTTGTACCTTCATGGCTGACAAAGCTACTACGACTACATTTCCCATGATGCCTAGCTGATCTGCAAGCAGCATAAGCAACATCCGGGTCTCAGGCTTCTGTTTGGCGACCCGTCGCCATTACTGCGAGCTCGTAGGAACGGAGGTATTTTTTTGGTTAAAATCTTAAAATTGACAAGTTTTCCAGATTGTGGAAAACATTTAACGCCTTGTTAAAGGCATTTTGTTTTCCTTAACGAGTAAAAAACCTTAAATTCGGGGGTCTTGGCCCCGTGTGGCGAGCTTTCGTCCTCCCTTCCAACAGCCTCCATAACTTGAGACGCCGAAATCGTGTCTCTTCTTTTTTTCTCGGGTTTGTTTTATTGTCAAGATGTCGCCGTGATGGAGTCTCCGCGTTTGACAGAAATGAATCAGGGCCTTCGCCGCCTGACCCGCACTCACTGCAGCCCGCCTTCCTGCTCCGTTTTTCTGTTTGATGCTAGAGAGCTCAACTGTTCTCTGCCCCGAGCTCGGCCTCAGCACAACTCACCGCACGGAGACAACAAACATGGAGAAAAACCCCAACAGCAGCAGCAGCACCAAGGTTCCGCCCCGCTCCAGCTCTACAGGCCCAACACCGGGCGAAACTAAACCCAAAACAGGTGAATAAGAAATAAACACTTGCACAATATAAATGTCCCTTGAGGTTGTCAAACCCAGCCTGTGCACTTTCAGCTAAACATTGCCCTGTGGCCTGCTGGGGCCTAGCAGTAGCGCAGGAGGTTGTTTATCTTGTTTGGCTGACGTCGCTGTCAAAACATTTTGACCCCCCCAAACTGCAGCTAAGAGGTGCACACTGTTTGTAATACCATGTGCCTTATACTATGCACCACTGGTGTCACATGCATGGATGCACAGACATATTAGCACAATTTAACGATCAATTTCTGCATAAATAAAAGTTTTTATCTCCATGCTTGCTCATGATGATGCTGATGATAATAATTATAGCTATATTTATGTACAAAGTTCTTCACAAAAGATACACAGGGTGGACAGAAAGGACAGGAAACACCAACATTAAAGACAAAATATAATATAATAAGTAGAACAGACTATAAAAATAAGACTAGAATTAATAGCTCATTTATGGTAAAAAAAAAAAAAAAAAAAAAATTCAGATGAAATCAGGATATGCCTTCCGATAAATTCATTTTTAAAAGAAGACGCTGGCAGGTTGTTCCAGAGTCTCGGGGCCCTGACAGCTTGAGTTGACATCTCATGTGTGAATAAATCCACTTAAATTACTTTTCTAGAGTCTAAAGGCTGCAGTCAAATAGTCAAAACACGTACCTACGATGTCCTTTCCTAAACAAAGACAACTGCTGCACTTACACTAGGCTTTGCATGGACGATAAGAACAGAGACCTTTTCTGTCCCACACAGAATCACACACCGAAGAGAGGATGTTTTTAATGTACACATAAGGTATGTTTAACAGTCAGTTATTTATTGGAAGGAACAACAAAATAAATATTGTTGAAATTAAAATTAAAAAACAGGATTTAAATGTTGAAAAAAAAAAAATGGAACATACAAGTAGAGAAAGATGAGACATTAAAATAATAAAAATAAGGAATTGAGCAAATGATATTCAGACATAAATATATCGAGGTTCCTGGCATTAGTGCGTTAAATGTTTTTTATACAGTTTAAGTAGAGAAAATAAAATTTTAGTGTATTCCACAATGCAAAACAACATTTATGTATGTAGTATTTTGTTATGAAATTCCTTGTTCTTGGAGCTCAGCCAATTAATGCAAGGATTTCGATAAGTTCTGGATCGTGATGATCTTTAAATGTTGCCTCTGCAAGGAATGCTGGGACGGCATTATTTCCTTTCCTTTCCTTTCTTAAAGGGGTTGTCCAGTGTTGGTCCTTTTTGCTAAAACAGATAAGAAAGGAAGTGTTGAAGCGCCTTTCCTGAGCATTTAGAGTATAAGAATTCAACCAGCTTTTGACACGACCGCCACTTAGATACTTCCGGGTCACTTTACTCACATACCTACAATAAACCCCACAGATCACTTAATTCTTTCAGCACTTTCTGGTTAACAACTTACAAATCAAGCATAATCAAAATTAAGATGATTTTATGGAATGATTAATATTTCTGTATTCATGTAGCTAATACTTTTTTATTTATTTTTATTTCAGAAGGTAAAAATAATGGAGGCTCTAAGCGCTACAGCCGCAAGCGCGAGCCCTCATTTCCTAAAACGGACAGTTTCCAAGGCCCTCGCCGCACCAATTCACAGAAAAGCAAGAATTTTGACAAGAGACCCTCTCAGAGAGGTGGAGGAAGACAGTATGGAGTTGCAGGTGGAGGACGACGTGAGGAGGTTTGTATTCGTAAGGGGTCACCTCCTTTTTAAAATATAATAATAGTAAAATGTGAGTAATAAAGAAAACTTTTGAAGCATCAGTTTTAAGTTAAAATATACTCTACAGACTCTTATCCACTTCTGCCTCTCCAGGTAGCCGAGACACGCCGGGCTGAGTTTAGCCCGGCTCAGTTTGCTGGACCGAAAAAAATAAGCCTGAACCACCTGTTGAACTTCACTTTTGAACCCCGTGGTGGAAATGGTGGCGTCGGAGATGGTGGCCACTCCTATTGGGGCCGCCGAAACAAATGGGGTCACAAGCACAAGCCCTTCAACAAGGAGCTTTTTCTGCAGGCCAAGTAAGCAGCCCCTCCTTAACAGTTCATTATATGTAATAGGGAGCCTGAAAATGTGGCGGTCAGCTAACAGTGTGTGTTTCAGTTGCCAGTTTGTGGTGACGGATGACCAGGACTACAAGGCTCACTTCACTGATCCAGACACTCTGGTCAACTGGGACTGTGTGCAGCAAGTGGTGGGTGCTTATTATCTTTGGAGATGTGCTACCAGTGCATCTGTATAAGAAGTAAAGCCCACATTGGTTTACATACTGATGCACGTCATTAAAATCCCATTTGTGTACGTTCACAGCGCATCTACAGTCACGAGGTGCCGTCTTGCCCGATCTGCCTCTACCCTCCTTTGGCAGCCCGCATCACCCGGTGTGGACACATCTTCTGCTGGCCGTGCATGCTGCACTACCTTTCTCTTAGCGACAAGAGCTGGTCCAAGTGCCCCATCTGCTATGAGGCCGTTCACACCGATGACCTGAAGAGGTAAAGAAGAAATTTATACAGCTTTGTAGTAGTAAATATTTATTTGAGGGGGGAGGGAAAAAAAAGCTTAACAAGTAAAAGACTGAAGCCTTCACATGGAGGCAGTTTAATAAATTTTGGTTTGGTCGGGACATTTTGTTTCTTATTGTTCCAGTGTGGTTGCCATGGAGACCAGGCAGTATGTGGCAGGTGATGTAATCACCATGCGCCTGATGCGGAGGGAGAAGGGGGCTCTGGTGGCCATGCCTAGCTCTCAGTGGGTGAAGGTGGAGGAGCCGGTTCGCTTTGGAGGTGAGAGATGGCTTAATATAATTCTACTGAATAGCAACTTCTGCATACAGATTTGTTTATGTCCCCAAACAGTTTGATTTATGTCAGACCCTCCAGGATTTCGTGGGCCTTTTTTTAGTGACTATCACGGTTTAAAATGCCTGATTTTGCAGCAGCTTTTCTATTAAATTGTGATGAAAATGATGTTTTTAGCAATGAAATTGTGGGAATAAGTGAAAACTGAGAAGCTGCTGTATGAAAAGATTTTGCAGGAAACTGCAATGAAATTTGTGGAAAAGTTTCAGTGATTGGTGCAAACTTCGCTGAATTCACGGGGATTTTGTTGAATTTGTGTATCTTGGACTGTAATGGAAGATTTACTATTGTATTTTGTAGACAGGAATACAAGAAAACCATTTTCAGTGTTATATACATGTGTAACTCCTAAAGGGGATGAACATGCAACAAATAATAAAATACCCATTCATCATCGTGTGATGTCGTGTGTTTCCTAGATGCGTGTCTCAGTCCGTACTCCAAGCTGCTGCTGACCTCCCCAGCGCAGGTCCTGAACCTGGTGGCAGAGGATAAGGCTGTCCTGCAGGTTCAGCTAAGCCAGGAAGAGGACGCCCAAGGCTGCTTCATCCAGAGTGCCCTTTGTCTTTTGCAGGTAACTAAAGC